CATCATTCAGCTCACTTTGTCTCATCACATAGGTGCTTAATCATGTCACATCACAAGAAGGGTGAGTAGAGTACAGTAAGATATTTGAGAGGGGGACACCACATTCACATAACTTTTATTATAGTATATTGTTATATTATTAGTTATTGCTGCTAATCTCTTACTGTGCCTAACTTATAAGTTAAACTCCATCATAGGGATGTATGTATGGGAAAAAACATAGTAAATACAGGGTTCAGTGCTCCATGGTTGCAGGCATCCACTGGGGGTCTTGGAACATATTCCCTGAAGATAGTGTAGGACTACTGTATGCCTTTCCATCTATTTAGATCATCTTCGGTTTCTTTCATCAGCAGCATGTATTTTTTTTCAGCATGTATGTCCTGTACATGTTATGTTAGATTTATACCTAAATATTTCACATTTTTTATCAGTTGTAAATGGCATTGTGTTCTTAATTTTGGTGTCCATGTGTTCATTGCTAGTATGAAGAAATACAGCCTATTTTTATTTGTTTCTTTTGTACCTGGGACTTTGCTAAATTCACTTATTTGGTACAAAAGGGGTTTTATTTTTGTTTTTGGTATATTCCTTGGGGCTCTTCTATATAGACAGTTATATCATTTACAAAAGAGAATAGTTTTATCTTCCTTTCCTGTCTGTATGCCTTTTATAGCTTTATTGCCATAAAAAATATCATAGAAATAAGAATGGTGAGAGTGAACATCCTTGTCTTTTTACTGATCTTGGGGGAAAAGCAGTCTTTCATCAAGTATAATGTTAGTTGTATAGGTTGAGGAAGTTTCCTCCTTTTCCTGTTTTTCTGAGAATTTCAATCATGAATGACTTGAATTTTATTAAACGCTTTTACTGCATCAGTTGATGTAATCATGTGATTTTTTTTCTTTACTCATTAATATTGTTGATGACATTGATTTTCAAATACTGTGCAATTGCATTCATGAAATGAATCTTAGTCATGGTATATACTTCTTGTTATATATTGCTGAATTCTGTTCATTATTTTAAAGATTTTTGTGTCTATATTCATGAGGTACATTGGTTTATAGTTTTATTTTGGGACCATCTTTGTCAAGTTTGCATAGCAGAGTAATACTTGCCTCATAAAATGAGTTGGCAAGTGTTTCCTCCTATTACATTTTCTGGAAAAGATTGTATGTTATGAGTTGTACACTTTAAAAGGGTAAATTTTATTATATCTCAATTTAATAAAATAACACACCAGTTAGAAAAAAGATTGAACAAATAACAAAACAAAAACCCTGGTGTCAATTGGTGTTAATTGATTAGTTGGTGCTAGTTCTTTCTTAAACATTTGGTAGAATTCTCTGGTAAAACATCTGAGATGGGACATTTCTTTTTAAGAGTTTTTAAATTTTGAATTCAATTTTTTTTATAGTTATGGGGATATTCAAATTATGTGTTTCATATTGGGTGAGTTGTGGTAGTTTGTGTTTTTTTAAAGAATTAATACACTTCATCCAAGTTTTCAAATTTATGTGTGTAGAATTGTTTGCAGTGTTCCCTTACTGTCTTTCTGATATCTGAAATAATGGCCTCTTGTTTCATTCCTGGTATTGGAAGTTACCAGTTTGTGTCTTTTCTCCTTTTTTCTTTGCTATAAGCTTATCCATTTTATTGATCCTTTCAAAGAACGAGCTCTTGGTTAGGTTTTTATGTTTTAAATTCCATTGATTTTTTTTTGCTCTTTATTGTTTCCTTCCGTCTGCTTTGGTTTATTTTGCTTTTCTGTTTCCAGATTGTTGAGGTGGGAACTTAGATTATTGACTTACTTTTCCTCTTTGTTAATGCATGCATGTAGTTAGTGCTATATATATCAGCATGGCTTTAGCTGTGTCCCACAACTTTTGATATGTTGTAATTTCATTTCCATCCAGTTCAGTGTATCTTTTTTTATTTCCCTTGAGACTTCTTTGACCCAGGAAAGTGTGTTGTTTAATTTACAAGTGTTTGGAGATTTGCCTGTTATCTTTCTGCTATTGATTTCCAGTTTGATTCCATTGTGGTTGGAGAAGCATTCTGTATATTTCCAGTTTTTTAAATGTATTGATGTTAATTTCTTGCTCAGGATATGGTCTGTCTTGGTATATGTTCCATGGACACTTGAAAAAAATGTATATACCCGTACTTTTGTTTTCTTTATATTTTCTTCTTTTCTGGTGTTCCAAGGCTCCTCCTTTTACCTTCTCCTTTCTGATTAGAGAACTTCCTTTAGCCATTCTTTAGAGTAAGTTTGCTGGTGACAGAGTCTCTTAGGTTTCCTTCATCTAACAAATGTCTTGATTTTCTTCATTCCTGAAGGGTATTTTCTCTGAATATAGGATTAGGGGTTGACATTTCTTTTCTTTTAGCACATGAAAAATATTGTGCCACTTCTTTCTGGCCACCATGATTTCTGATGAGAAATCTGCTGTTGCTTGAACTGATTTTTCCATATAGGTGAAGAGTCATTTTTCCCTGGCTGTTTTTGAGAATTTTTTTCTTCAGTTTTCCAAAATTCAATTGTGGTGTGTTGGTGTGAATTTCTTTGGTCTGTCCCAATTTAGAATTCACTCGGTTTCTATATATGTATATATCTGTAGGTTTAAGTGTCTTGTCAAATTTGGGGAGTTTTCAGTCATTGTATCATTGAGTATTTTTCAAGCCCCATGTTCTTTCTTCTCTTTTTGGCATTTTGATGCCACCTCATCACAGCCCAGCAAGGATAAAAATTGAGACTCCCCACTTGAGCTTTCCTGGTAAGTGAGGTAGTGTTTGGTGCAAGTAAAGCAGTTATTTTCTGACAGTTCCAGAGAAGTCTCCCTAGGCTGCTCTTTTTCTGGTCCTTTGGGTGGAGACAGCAGGCTTTTGCTGGGATTTTTTTTTTCTATCACTGGCATTTCTAGGTTGCTGGCTTCTTTAATTCCAAATCTAGGATGTACGAGTCAAAAAACAGACAAAAACCCAGATAACTCAATTATCAGGTCAATTCTGAGGTCCCTAGCCTGTCTGCCTTCTTCTCACCATCCTATCAGACTCTTCTTATGCATATTTCATACATGATGTCCAGGCTTTTTGTTTTTTCATTCAATCTTTTTGCTAATTGGTGTGTTATTTTATTAAATTGAGATATAATTTACTTACCATAAAATACACTCTCTAAAAGTGTGTGATTCAGAGGTTTTTAGTACATTCACAAGGCTGTGAAACCATCACCACTATAATGACAGAACACTTTTGTCACTCCATAAAGAAATCCCAATAGCAATCACTTCCCATTCCTTCCTTTCTCTAGTCCCAGGTAATCATGAATCTTTCTGTATCTATGAATTTTCCTATTCTGAACATTTCATATAAATGCAGTCATATAGTATGTGGCCTTTTATGTCTGGCATCCTTCACTTACTGTAATGTTTTCAAGGTTCATCTGTATCATAGCATGTATCAGTTTTCATTCATTTTCATTGCCAAATAACATTCAATTGTATAGATATTCCACATTTTGTTTATCACTCATCAGTTGATGGACATTTGGGTTTTTACACTTTTTGGCTATAATGCTGCTATAAACATGAGTGCCTAAATTTTTGTGTGAACACACATTTTCATTTCTCTTGGTTATATACCTAGGAGTCACATATGACCATATGTGGGAACTGTGTTTAATTTTTTGAGAAACTGTCAAACTGTTTTTTAAAGCAGCTGTAGTACTTTACATTCCCACCAGCAATGTAGGAGGGCTCTGTTTTCTCCACATCCTCAATGATGCTTGTTATTGTCCATCATTCTGATTACAGTCATCTTTGAGAGTGTGAAGTAGCATCTCATTGTGGTTCTGATTTGCATTTTCCTAATGACTAATGATGTTGAGCACCTTTTTATGTGCTTGTTCGCATTTGTGTATCTCCTATAGAGAAATGTCTATTCAAATGACTGCCTGGGCTTTAATTGGGTGTTTTTTAAATTATTATTGAGTTATAAAAGTTCTCTTATGTATTCTACATACAAGACTCTATAATTTGCAAGTATTTTCTCCCAGCCTGTCGTTTGTTCAGGGATTTTGCTATACTTAACTGAAAAAGTAGAAAAAAGTACATCTACCTCATCTTTTGGGAAGCACAAGGCTCCCAAACTAGTCGTATAATAGCTTTTGGAAAGGCCAAAGTATACTTCATTGCTTATAACTCAAAGAATTTTAAAGTCAGTATGGGAGAGAAATCCTATTCTAGTGTTCAATTTCTTTGTTGTTTCATACTTAGAAGTTATTTACAGTTAATTTCAGGGAATGATTTTATTTCAATGTTTTTTTCTATGCATTTTTGTGACTTGCCTCCTTGTGTATTCAGAGAAAATTTGCCACCTGGAATGCGGGGGCCTATGGGCTTTGTGTCAAGATACCAGTCCCTTTAGCCCTTTGGGTAGCTGTCAGGGCCTGGGGCAGCCTAAACACAAGCATTTTGTCCAAATATTATGACTTGTGTATGTGCCATGAAGTGGAAAGGGTGCCCAAGCAAGAGTAGGGAGCTTCCCTCTGGGGTATGTTTATAAGCCCTGCAGTTAGAGCGGTGGAATAGGCACAGGTATAAGTGAGCATTTCTCATTTCTAGGCTAAATAGATGGGTCTTTAATCTTACCAAACAGTGGGCAATTCAAAGTTAATCACAAGAAATTAAGAATTTCATGGTATTTCCTGTCTTCACCCAAATCACCTTCTACTGAGTTCTTCAAAGACTGGTGTCTTCTTCACGGGTGAAGATGGTTTTTTTTCCTGTATGTCTGGCTCTTCTTCTCTTATGAACTTAAATACCGATGTATAGCTGTGGCTAGAAATTTCAGAATTATTTTGAACTTCAAATATTTCTTTTATCCCATAGGTGCCTGGGTGTATCTTACCCGCTCCCCATCATTGCCAGTCTGTGCCATGAATGGATTACGCTTCCGATGAAATCCCTGGCGGCGCTTTGTTCAGTCTCCACGGCGGGGTTCTTGCGTTTTCTCAAGCACCCTGTCTAGGTTTCTGTTCTGCAGCTCCGCAGGCTGATTAAGGGACGCTTTCCAAACCACAGGGCTCTTCTTTGTTAGTCTGCTGCACTCTTTCATTGTTTGCAGTATCCTCTCATTTCAATCTATGTTCAATCTGCCTCACATTTCTTTAGCTTTCTAAAATTCTGTAGACTTTCTCCACTCAATCTTTTCTAGCCTTATTTTTATTTTTTTAAATTCGCCTTTTATCACCACACAAACTAGTCATTTCCTTTTCTCTTCTGTAGTCTTCAATTTTCCTGAATATCTGTGAATAGCCTTGATCTTAAGCAGTCAAACTTATTACAACTAGGTACTCTTCATTTTTATTTGGTATTTAATTCTGTTTCTTATGACAAAGGAAGAAATGTACGTGACAGCCTTTTACAAACCAGAAAGCACTATACAATCGTATAACTTATCGAGATTAACAAAGGACCACTGTGCCTCTTTTCACGCTTTCTGCTCCTTCTGAGCTAAAAGAACTTCTCCATAGAGAAAGGAAATACTGAAGAAAAATAAAGCAATGGGGGTTGTCTCTTAGCAACTGAGTTCGTGTCTTATAAATCTTACCTACTTTAGATTATTGCTGCTCAAAATCATTTGCTTTTCTTACTGGCTCAGTACAAATAAATGTTATTAAATTATAGGAAAACAAAGGAGAAAAATCTAACAAATGAGTTATTCAGTTCATTGATTGTGCATAGCACAATATAGTTGGGTTGTCTCTCTCTTGATTCTAAAACCTTTTGAATATATCTTTTGTTGCAACTCAGATTTTAAGTAGAAGCTAAATACCACCTTATACATTTCTAGGTTACCTGAGTCGTGAAACAACATGGGTCATAGAAGTAGTACATAATATATGCTATATATAAATCAACATATATTTATTTACATAATACATACTGTAAATAAATATGAATCAAGTTGTGCATAGCTGAAAATGAGAAAACCAGATTGAGGGATGAAGTTATTTGTATTATAAAGTAATTAATTATAAGGATTTTTCAGATAGTAAATCTTATGAGTGTATTTCATTTAGCAAATATTTTTGAGTGCCTCCTACATTGGACAGTGGAAAGGATAAAGGTATTCTGTGGGGTGTGTGTGAGTAATCTTGGGCTTTTAATATAATAAGATAGATAAGAGTGGCACACAACTAAAGCAGTGTAATGACAAATGCCTTGTGGGTGGTATGCTGAGTGCGGTAGAAATTCAGAGGAGGGAAAGGTCACTTCCACCTGGGTGAGCTATTATGATTACATGGACAAGGTGGCATGTTAGAGAACCAAAGACTAACAGAGTTTGTCAAGTTCAGTAATTAGGGCAAGATTGAAGAAGGAGGTAAGATGGCGCCTTCAGCGCTAGAGCAAGGAGTTTAAACTTTCGTTGGTGAGCAGGGGGAGCCACCAGGTTTTTGTTTTTTTTTTTTAGTCTAAGTCTTATCTAGGAACATTTATCTGGCAGTAATGTGTAATTTGTTTTTGTTTTTTTAATTGGTTCGCTGATAGTCTTTTTTTTTGGTGGATGGTTTATGTATGTATTTATTTATTTTTGAGATTTCTAGTTGAGCTTCTGCTATTGCTAGTATTTTTTTTTCATTAAGGCATTATTGATACACAATCTTATGAAGGTTTCACATGAGTAGAATGGTAGTTTCAGCATTCACCTGTATTACACTGACAGTTTTTTAAACTCCCTTTATATAAAAAAAAAATGCATTTACAAGTGAGTTAATTATAGAATTGATTCATTTCTAGTCTTGTTAAAATATTTTCAGATAAAATTAGATCCAGTAAGATAAGCTGCTTAGTTAAGATACAAACAGTATATAAAATGGAGTAAAATACTACTTTTCATACTTTCCAAAATCATTTTTAGGGATTTTTGTGTTGATTAGTCAGCCATCCTAATGTCTCATTTCTCCAGTTGAAACAATGCAGAAAATCCTCCATTTTCTATTCTCCCTCTATTTGGAAACAGTGAAAGTCTGTAATGAAGAGAGCATCTTGTGTCAATAGCCCTCTTAGATTTCTTCTTAATTTTGCCAAATGTTTGTATACTGCCACAAAGGACTGTTTCCCTGTCTTCTCCTTTAGTGGGAAAAATCAAGTAAATAGTAGGAGTGGCAGCCTACCTCCCAGGATTGTTGTGAGGCTCTGCTGATGGAAAGGTGAAGTTCTGTGAAAATACTCAGAAAATGTTAATGCATGAGAAATCAACGTTAGACACTTTGTTAGTAGAAATTGCTGTAGGTTGGAAATGCAATGTTTTAATAATAAAGACTATATAATAAGGTTGGCTATGTTTTCTATATATAGTATACCTCAGGGAATTTAGAGCATGAACTGTTCCCACCTGCTACTGTGAGGGAAGTGACACTTCCTACAGATTTACCTCACAGTGAAGTCAAATTTTTAAAACAGCACACCTAGAAAAGCAATGTGTTCTTGTGAGCCATATTAGAGACTTAGAGACCAGGTGGGTGGGAATACCAATCCTGACTAGCCACTAACTGGCTGTGTCACTGGTCACGTCAGTAATCCTTTTTGTACATCAGTTTTTTGATGGGACTGCCTAAGGTTGCCCTAGAGAAAAAAAAATTCACTGTCTTGTCAGCCATGTACAACTGTGGGGTCTCAGGAACATAAAACCAAAGGCTGTTACGTAAAATCATTTAAGAATAATATTGTGGAATGCTCACCACCACACTGTTGGCCTGTCTTCTTCCCCCATTGTGTCAACCAGCATGTTCCTGCCCAGGTTCAGAGTTGTAGGGAAAAGGGATGTGTGTCCAAGAAGAATTTGTCATTTCCCCAGTGGAGATGTGGTCACATCTCAGGTCGATTCCAGCCTGAAGAACCTAGTCTTTGGTGCTGTTTAGACCTGAGACATTCTCAGTGTCTGTCTGGAGAAGACTCAGGCCTTCTGAGGAGTCCTGACTGCCAGCACGCCTCTGAGCTTTTAGAAGGATGCAGTCTGGCTCCAAGACCTCACTGAGTCCTGCTTTCTGGCCCTAATCCAGAAAGTGTGTATCTTCAGATGAAAGATATTATTTTAAAAACTTAGTGGAATTTTATGCTATGATGAATTCATAGTAAAGATTTAATAATAAAAAATGACATAAGTTGTTTTTTGAAAATGTATTCTGGGTTTTAGAGCAAGGATTTTCTTTCTCTGCTTCTGACCAAAACATGAAGAAAAGTCCAGAAAAGTCCGGAAAAATCAGCTCATGCCATTAATTGGAAGTATACCTTTTCTCTGAAGTTGGAACTGAATCTGACTAACTCCTCTGAAGGCTTAAAAGTTAGGAGCACAATTTTAGAAATGAGAAATTATTTTGAATGTTTTCCCTTTTTGCTGTATCTTTTAGGTGCTAGATAGAACTTGCTGTGTTGAATTGAATTAAATCGAAACATGCCTATTAAAAAGTAATAGCCCCTGGCTTGAGAACTAGACTTAAGTGCATTTGGAAACCAGAATGATCCTGGCCTGGTTTTAATGTATGAAAACTCTCCAAACCACCTTGGCTAGAACCTAATATTGTAAGACCAGGCTATAAAACGTGAAGGCTGGGGACTCTCTCCAGTGGTGGGAATCTGCTGTTATTTCTCAGCAAATCAAGCCTATGGTGAATACTAGCTACAGACTGTGTGGTCTGGTCCAGCCTGCAGCATCAACATAGATAGTGGGAGACCAAGCTCAGGAAAGGGAAACCACAGAGTCTAAGCAGAGAGGCAGGGGTTGCTGGGGTGGCCACAACTGCACAGTTTAGACATTCAAACATCATTGCTTCTTTCTCCTCTGCATATCTCCCCCACAGAAAGATTATGGGGGGATAAAAGGAGGAGGAAAGCCTTGACTGAAGAAGAAAAAAAAAAGTTATACAAAGCGATCATCTGTACTGCCTGGGACTTCTTAATGTTTATTGGGTGGGCACCGCAGTTTAAACACATTTGACCAAAATACTTCCCTTTGATGCTTCATCTTTTAATGATGTATAACTCAAAAGATTATTTACTATGTCTGGCCCATTTGCACATTGTAATTCCCTAAGAACAGGACAGGAAGGCATAGGGGAATCCTTGTATGTTCTTTTGTTTTCACGGGATTACTCATTTTCTTCCATTAAAAGCACATCTAAAAATCCTTATTCTCTTTTTAGGTAACAGTATGACTAAATACATAGAGAAGCTAGAAGAGATCAAAAAAAGTGAGTACCACTGTTGATGGCTTCGGATAACGGAACCCCGTAGTTGTTCTATAAGCTGGCTGTTACGCTCTCCCTGTACTCTACAGCTGACACGCATGGAGAGCTGTGGAGACAGGTGAGCCTGGCAAGTGCGTGGAAGGCTGTGAAGCAGCTGCTACAATTGTGGCCTGTGGGTGCAGATTTCTGCCCGACTTACATCCTATAGATGTTAGTGTTGGAGTGTCAAATGAGCTTTAGGTGGACAGTGAGAACCTGAGCTTCTAGTTTCTAGTTTCATTGTACTGCAGTCTTCATGACCTTTTCCAAGGAATTTAATCTTTCCTATCTCCTTATTTTCTCTATACTTTATTTCATACCATTCTTTTGAGTATAAATTAGACAGTATTCATGGAAAGACTTAGAAGTGTGAGAGAGAGCTCATTCTTAAAGTGGTGTTATGCATTATAAATTCACTGCAGTCTGCTTTCTTTTAATTAAAAATAATATTTCACACACAACCTTTTTCAAACCTAATCTGCAAAGATGTGCTACTAGTCATTGAGTGTACTGCCCCTGCACATAACCATAATTTTTCAACTTCTGTCCAAAACGATGTAAGACATACACATCAAGGCCAGAATTAAAGTAGAAACATCTATTTTCTAAGATGGATTTGCTCATGTCATCAGTAAGAATATCCAGTACTAGAAGAGTATTTTAGCTAATGGTAATGAGGTACTCTGACTGAAAGCAGGTCAGTACTTGGCTCTGGTAATACACATCTTTTAGAGAAAGAATATTGCAAATCCAGAATCTACCAGAACTTTTGTTTTTTCACAGCCGTGCTGTTAATTTAAATGATAATGTTTCTGTTCCTTTTGAGTTGCTTCACTATTGAGAAACCCCAGACAATAGATATGGACTCAGGGGCAGCCTTAAGCTGTTATTTGCCATCATCAGCTGTAAGGGCTGATGCTTTAGATACTTGTTTTTTAATGTTCCATGTCACTAAATCCTTTTTTCTCCTTCTTACATATTTTATATTCTATTTTATACATTCTATTATATTTAACATTATGTAAGTATATATGTTTTAAGTGTATGTTAAATTTTTAAGCTGTGAGAAAAATCTTGTTTACTCACCTATGCTTCATTGTTGCTGTCCTTAACGTACCCAGGATAGGCAAAATCCAGTTGGCCAAATTCTATTTTGGTTTGTAGTTTCTTTCGCCTCCTTTCCATCCGTAACTTAGTGTAAGCTCCCATGCCCACACCAAAATTTGTCCCATAAAAATGTCCCATTCTACTGAGATCGCTGAAACCCTGTTTAAAACATTTCTTAAAAGCATAGTGTGGTTTCTTTAATATCTGAACTTTAAATGGAGCTTATCTCCCAAAAAGAAAGACCTCTGGGATAGAATCCTTGAAAATGCTTGCTTCCCTCTTTAGAAGTTGTGGGCTTCCTTTTTAGTAAGACAGGAGGTTCCTCTCACCTTGTTTCACACACTTTCTATTGATTCCATGACTAGAATTACGTTAGATTCTGGTCTGGAGCTACATTTTGGAATGTATTTCCTTCCCTTTTTCCATTTTCTGTTGTAAGTTGTTCTTTTGGGTCGAAGGGGAGGAGAATATTGCCTTTCTTCATGACACCCTAGACCCATTACTTTTCTCAGATTACCTTAGGTGCCATGTCTTTCTGTGAAATCACAATCTTGTTCTGTTACTTTCTTTGATTTGTCTTCCACTGTGAGCCCAACTTCCCTTTGGTAATAAGGTGTTAACAGAGCCCTGAAAACTCAAAATTCCTTTGTAATCTGAATATTCTTTCAACTGTGCCTGTGGTAAATAGACACTCCGTGTCTATTGACCACTTACAAAGCCTATTCTTGGCTTCTGGTGGTCAGATGATACTAGTCGGACCCAGTGTGAAACACCCTAGACAGTCAGGTCTCTGTCCTTCCAGTAACTTGAGAGACAGACCTAGACTCCACTCACTGGAGAAGCAAAGCTTGATAACGTATCTGAAGCTAGGATTCTTTGTCTTCATCACAGAGTTTGGGAGAAGCCACACTAGCAGAAGCTCCATTCTTAAAGCTCTGTTCGCCCTTGCAAGGACAGACTGACAGAGCTTTCCAAGTCATCCTTTTTAAAAAATTTAAACTTACTGTAAAACGTCTGGTTTGACCTTTTATCTCTGAGTAATAATGTCAGAAAGTCCTAGTGATGGCTGTTCTTCTAAACCAGAACCAGGTATGTAGCATTCAGGCTCAAATGTGCAGTGGGATTCTAGTGCTCATGAGAGGATGCTGGAAATGCCAGTCATTACAGTATAGCAGGGCCTGTTTTTTGTTTAAGGTATTTTCTACTTAGTCAAAGGGGATTTTAATGTGTACATTTTATACTTAGAATGTGAAGCATTGGAGAAGTATTTCAAACTATGTAACTGTACCAAAAGAATATCAATGGATAAATGCCACAGTGCAAAGAATTTGAAAGCTGTTGACTCTTTTCATTGGTTGATTTATTGTCATTTTGATTTACACAAATGACTTGATGGGAAAGTTGGTGTCAATTGAGAGGAATACTATAGTTATTCAGTTGCACTTTTTAAAGCTTCTGCTCAGCTTATTTGGGTCTGCTTTCTGGTGGGTTTTAGAAGCTCCTTTGCATCTAGGTTTGTTACCTTACTGTATCCAGAAGAAACTGTTCTAAGAATTTTCTAGAAGTAATGGTTATGCATTAGCCAAATTGCTCTTCTTAAGACATTTTAGAACAGAGAGGCTTTAACTCCCTATAAGAAAGTCTCTTGATGTATTTACAGAAGGCTAGTTTTTAAGGTAATATCATTTCCTGACTCTGAGTCCTAAGGGAAATGGAAACCAGACTGACATGAACCTCCAAAGTAACTAACTATCTGGTCTGTGTCGGTTTTTTTGAAAATTCATGGAAATGATTAGTAACACCAGGTAGATAATCTTAAATACATTTAATCCTTTCCTTTGTTGCTAGGAGCCTTGGTTTATGAGACATTTATGCTGTGAAAGCTATCGTAATTATCCAGCTAACCTTTAGTAATTCTGAAATAATAAGGCAGTATTTAAGGAGGCACGGCACCAGTTTAAGAGCCTAGAACATGAGTGAAGTGTAAGGGCAGTGGGAGCTCAATGCAGAAAACCTCAGAATTGGCAGTCATCTTCAGAAAAGTGTAAGGAAGCTAATTTTTAACATGCCTCAATGGGACAGATACTTGATACAGTAAGATTGGCTAAATTTTAAGAACTGTTTAATATGATATGAAGAACTACTAACATAAACAAGTGCAGCCATAGCCCCATTTGAATTGTCACTCAGAACTGTATAGGTAGCACTGAATAAATACTGATGTTTTTGATTGATCTTTTTTAAATTGTAAAAAACGCATAACATAAAATATCCCAGCGTAGCAGTTTTTAAGTGTACAGTTCAGTAGTGTCATGCATGTTCCCATTGTTGTACAATGGCTCTCCAGAACTTTTTCATCTTGCAGAACCAAATGGGTTGATTTTTATTGAAGTGAAGTTGAAGAGAAACTAATACAAGAGATTAACAGGCCCAGTCATACCATGCGCCAGCATTGTACCCCAGGGGAAAAAAGTGTTGTCCTGTGTCCCTAGGATATGTTATAACCTCAGGAATATTATTGTTCTCTTTTCAGGAAGGAATATAATACAATTTTTCAGAATAGTAGAGTGTAATTGTCTCACCAGCTGTTTGACCTGAGGCAACTCAGCTTCTCTGGTTTCTGTCCTCATTTGTAAAATGCAGATGTTTAATCCCTGCTTTGTTCTGAACACGGTTTAAAGCAGCTTGCAAAAATGCAAGCAATACCGTGTGGACAAAGTAGAGACAACAGAGTAGCAGGAAAATGGTGGACTGATAAAGTAAAGACAAGGGGTAAGGTCACTGAGGACAGAGGGGCATATAAATTCACCTTCCTACCAGCTGAAAGCAAAGGAGGGAAATGAAGAGATGGTAATAACAGCTGCTACAGTTAATTTTGAGGATATCGTGAGGATCAAATGAGATGGAAAAGCATATAACTTGAAAATCATACCATATAACTTGGTGATTAGAAAGAATTAATACCTCTAAGAAAACAAAATATACCTAGAAAATTATTTGTCCTATCCTGCTTTTCAGATTATAGGTACAAAAAAGATGAGCTTTTCAAGAGACTAAAAGTTACAACTTTTGCCCAGCTGGTAAGTTTAATGATCTTGCAATGGAGTAAATACTGTCTTAATTTGTGCTGCTTTATGTGAGTATTTCTAAATTCAACTCTAGGTAATCGCAGAGGGGTTTCTTTTGATTCTTTGTATTTCTCCTATGGGAGAGTTCATTGGTATGTGATTCATGTGTTCATTTGAGGATGGGGTGAAATTTTTCTCTTTGATAAGAATTTCATAAAGCAAACTGTACATTCTACTTTTAAATCATCAGATTTATGGGTTAGGTTTTACTTTTCTTTGTACATTTTAATATAATACTTAAAATCTAGAAATATATTTAGAATAATATGTATATATTTATATTATAAAGTCTAGAATAATATTTAAAGTCTGCAATTCTGGGCTCTGGATTATTGGGATATTTTTCTGTGTGAAACCAGGTGATCTCCCCTCTATGACTGACTCTTCCACATCACCTGCCAGGGGCTAATTTTATTTGAGAAAATCATTTTCTGCTTTCTTTTGAAAATTATGGACAAGATGTCTCTTTGGCCACCAAACAAGTGCTCCACTGATGTAGCTTAAGGTGGATCTTGGGTCTTACGAGCTAAGTTATGGAAAGTACTTTAAAAACTCTATGCAGATTTAATTAGTAGTTTAGAACTTATACATGCTTTTGTTACTCTACAAGAAGATATGTCAAAGAAATAATCAATCTAACCATGTTTTCAAAATAAATAAATAAATAAATAAAAATAAAAATAAAAACTTTATGCAGGTATACAGTGTTATAATCAACATATTTATAATTACGTGTCTGCCTTCATTGTATGAAGCATTGCTGATACAGGTCTGTTACTGTATTGGATGTTATGTTGGGATGTAGTTTTGGATGTAGATAGTTTTCAACTCTTGCTCATATTTCTTGTCTTAAATAATCCTTTTGGTCTTTTAATTTTATTGTGTAATGTTTTAAATGAATCTTTTCTTCTGGAATGATCATCTGCAGTGTAATTACCCCTCCCAAAGTAAGGAGGCCTGGATTTAGTCTCCAGTTGAGGACACTGGCTGTACCTTAAAATAAGAGATCTTTGATGTTTCCTTGTCCTTTGTAAAGAGGGGTTGCCTCTGTTTATAGACAAACATACTCACATCTTTGCACTTTTTTTTTTTCTCTGAGGTCATCCAAGTTGCTTCCCTATCTGATCAAGCACTGGAAATGACAGTTGAGGAGATTCAACGGCTAGAAGGTAATGAGAATTGAGGATGTGGGGAAAATGGCAGATTGACCGTTTGACTGAAGGACTCACCCTGTCCACCTTTGCTGTTGTGTTCCCAGGGAATGGGGGCTTTGATGTACCTATTTGTAATTTGACTGGTACTCTCAGAAACAGCTATCTGGTGCTTTAATTATTAACTCTTATTTCTTTTAAAAAGCCATCTGGTTTTCTGGCTCTAACATTTGTAGTTTTAGATGTTTTAGATGCGTTTAATATATGATTTACTTTTTTTCAAAAAATATTTTTAGTGCCTGCTACATATGGATAGGTCACAGGATCAGGCACTTTGGGACTACAAAGATGAAAAAACACAGCCCTGGTTACGTGGAGTTTGCAGTCCCATGTGTACTGGGTGAGGAGAATGAGAACAGAAAGACAAAATTACTATTATGTCAGAAATCATAATGGAGACCTGGAAGGAAGCCATCATTTGTTAAATATGTATTGCTAGGTACTTCACATGAGTTTTCTTATTTAAGCTTCTCTAAAAAACTCTAGAAGGAAGATACACTTTACAGGTAAGAACTAGGTCTCAGAAGTTAAATTCCTTACTCAAAGTGGTACAGCTAGTTAAGAATGGAAACAGGATAAAAATCTACATGTCTCTGGTACCAACTAGTGGCTCTGCTGTGGGGTTTCTGAGGTAGGACAGGTGCTTTCCAGTTAGAAACCCCAAGGTAGGCTTTCCGAAAGCTTTTGAACTGGGCCTTAAAGGGGGTTAGAATCGCAACAGGTACGATTCAAGGGTGAGGCTCTTGCAGGCTGAGGAGGAGCCTGAGCAAAAGCTTGGAGAAGAAAAGCTCCAAGTGTCTGGGGAATTGCAGAATCCTGTCTGGCTGTGGCCTGAGGCGAGAGTAGTCAGTGCTGGGTGAGAGATAAGGCTGACCAAAAGGTAGGCTCCAGATTTCCTTTCTTAAATACCAAATTGAAAATAAAACCTCTTAGTTGTACTCGCATGAAAAGAATACACAGAGTTGAGGTCTTTATCCTGAAGTACTCAACAGTCAATGTGTGGTTGTTATTGAAGGGGAATGTGTTCTGTTAAGGTTTATGTAGGCCAGGAATTTGACTTCTGATTTCAAGACAAGTTTCTCAGGAAGTCTGAATACTGAGTTTGTGCAACTCAACTGTCATTTCCCTGAGCTTGTTTTTGTTACCAGGGATAAAGAGAATCTGAAAAAGGCAGGAATTTATCTTTGACAGATGCCTTTCACACAGCAGAGAAATAAGGGCTCTTTGTAGCAAAGATAATTGAGTCTCCTCATACAGGTACTCCCAATTTTAACCCAGTTATATAAGTACCTGGATTTGGTCCTTTAATTCATTATTGAGATTGTAGCACCAGAACATATGGGCACATGCAATTTTCTCTTCTGAGATAAATTTGCACAGCAAAATAGGCTCTTGTAAAGTAGGGCACCGTAATGTGCGAGTAATATTAGTGTTTTTCTAGTGTTCTACACAGAAATAATAACTCACTAAACCAATCTGTAGAACAGATTATATAGAACAATATCTGTGTGCATATTGGCTATCGTTGAAGGAATAAAAAAATATTTTCTTTATTGTTTTTTCCTGACTTAAGATTATATTTCTATTGCCTGAGACATTAAAATAGTATTACTTGGTGTTAATTTGGTAGACACATAGGCAGGCTTGGGCCTGAAATGCCAAAAAGGTTTAGCCAGGTGATCCTATGATTATATTTAATTTAAAAAATCATCATCCAAATAAAAACACAAAATAAAAAATAAAAAAGATTGCATTTCTAGGAAATCAGGAGACTGCACAAAATATGTACAGAAGAAAATTAAAATAACTAATAATCCCTGTTAACATTTTGGTCTGTTTTCCCCTTATTTAGCCCCACACAAATCTATATTCTTTGTATATAGTTTTGTATTATCCTGTTTTCAATTAACTTTTATCTTGCATAGTTTCCTATGTCATTAAGTAGACTTCAAAAGCTTAATTGTTAAGGTTGTATTGTCATGTAACATCTGTCCTTTGGGTATACCATAATTTATTTAATTACTCTCCTGTTGTTGGACATTACAGCTTTTCAAATTTTTCACTTTTACAAAATACTGCTGCAGTGTAAATTTATAAGTATTTCTATTTCTGTGGTTCAGGTTATTTCCTGAAGGTGAACTGCAGCTGATGGTCAAAGGGTGGGACCATTTTAAGATGTTCAGTGCTGATTCCACATTATCTCCAGAATAGCTCTTCCTGTTTACATTCCCACTTAGTGAGACCCCTTTCTTCCCATCCTAGGCAATGCTGAATAATTACCACTTTTGTAAATATTTGCCCATTTGATAAATAATAGAAGGTATTTAATAGTTTTAATATATCTGATAGTGAGATTGAGCTTTGTGTATGTGTATATTTATCGGTCACACATATTTCTTTTGAGAAATCTTGAGAACATTACATGTCTTTTCCCATTTTTTTCTAATGGAATGTTCCTCTTTCACTTATTGATTTGTAAAAGCCCTATATGATTATGGTAACTTTATATACTGAAACCAATACAACCCTGAAAACGAATGAGAAAAATCTTTTACTTGGTGATTTGGAACAATTTCCAATCTGTTATTATTAAGTAAAATAAAACAATAACAAAACAAACAAAAAACCAGTGTAGGGCAGTATGAATGGCATTTTCCTGAATATGTAAAAGGAGAGGAAATAAAATATATACAAAAGTATGTAGTTGGCTTACGTCCTGAGGGAGACATAAATATGTGGAGGTAGTTCCCTTGGGAAAGGAGGCCTGAGGGCCTGCAGGTCTGGAGTGGGAAGACTTCCTTTCCAATTTTACTAACAATTTCATCTTATTTGCATTTTTACTTTGTGAACATGATCTTTTTTCAATTAAAGAACTAGTTAATTTTTAAACTCTATAAATGAAGTGTATTAACCTTTCTCATTCATGTATGTCACAGATATTTTTCCTCATTTGTTATTCACCTTTTAATTTTCTTTGTGTTGGTGTTTGACGTACATGAGGTTTGCATTTTTCCGTGATTAAATCTGTTAGCCTTTCATGTTATGTTTTTTTTTTATTGCTTTAGACTCATAAAATCCAAAATAAGATAAATTATTCACCTGTATTTTCTTCTATTAACTTGCTTGGTTTTTTTCCCCTACACGAATCCATCTGTTACATATTTTGGTATACGAGGTGAAGAGATTATCTAACTTTTATTTTTCTAGGAAGTTAACAAATTTTCCAGCCCTGTTTATTCAATAGTTTTCCCTCCACCCACTTATGATGTTACCTTTAACTTCTGTTAGCTCTATTCCTGTATTGGTTTCTGGGTTCATTTATTCTGTTCCATTGTTCTAGTTGTAGTTCTGCATGATTTTAGCCTTCTTACCCTTTCAGTATATGTAACTATTTGATAAGGCAGGTCTGCAAATCACCCTCATATGTATTTTTTTTCTCTTATCTTTAAAATCCTTTTAAGCTTTTCTTTAAAAAAAAAATCCCATTGTGATTTGTATTAAGGCTAAAAATTACATTTGGAAAAGATTAACATCATTTCACTTTTAGTCACCCAGTCAGGAATACATGAGGTATGTCACTGACTTCCTTCAGGTCTTTTCTAATGTCCCCAGATAAAATGTGTTAAGACCTATAAAGGACTTACATAAGTTTTTATAGGTCCTTTACATTTCTTTCTAGGTTTATTCTCTAGGATAGTATATTTTATATCTGTAGTTATTACTATAAATGAAATATTTTTCATGTTATTTTCTAATTAGCATGTGGGAAAAATATTTTGTTAGCATTTTTTATACCTAAGCATATATTTATTTCCCTTATTCTCCTAGGATTCTCTTGAAGTTTCTAGGTATATTATATTATGCTTAAATTAAATTTTGATATCTTCTTTAATAACTAGGCCTCCACACTCTCAAAAATTATTAAGAACCTCAAAAAACTTTGGTTTATGCAAGTTATGTCTATTAATACTTCTGGTATTAGAGATTTTAACTGAGAGCTTAAACATTTATTATTTGCTGTTTCACTTAAAATACTACTACTAAACCCATTACAAACTTAAATCATGTTTTTATGCAAATAGCTATATTTCCAAAACAAAAAAAAAATTTTACTGAGAGTGGCATAATTTTTAATGTTTTTAATTACCTTTCACATTTTTTAATTACATTTTTTAGGAAATCTTGCTAATGTCTGATTATAGATAACAGCTGATTCTACTATCTTCCTGTGCATTCAGTCTGTTGCAATACACTGTCTGGGTGGAAGTATATGAAGAAAATCTAGTCTCACTACAGAAATGTAGTTGAAAAAGGGAGGACTATTTTAACAGCCTTTTCAGATAATTATGGGTATTTTTCTTTGATGCTATACCCAAACTTGACAACTGGTAGCTTCTTGAAGGGTCATTGCAATGTGGAATCTGAAATCATATCAATGAACTTTTCATACTGCTTTATTAAACTCATTGGTCTGTCTTGCAGTTTGAAATATTTTATCTGTGGCATCAGTCATTGATTATTTGGAAAATATGGATTCACTGAGTAATGAAGGCCTTCCATATGTTAACAAATTTCACTACCTAATCCAAAAATCACATTTATTCATCTTACCACCAATCTTATCAGAAAAGTCATTAAGTATGGGGAAACGGGCAAGCTGCTGATGGCAAATACAGTTTCCAAAATTCTGATTTTTGTTCAAAATTTAATTATTGCAGCAACAGTCATTTTCCATGAAGTGACAAGTTCACTTAGATCATTTTTGAGAAAATGTCTGCCAAAGGCACATAGTTTTTCTGTCTGTTTTTCTTTAAAGTAAAAATAGTACTCAGGGCTTGATCCCCCTATACAGAATTTTATTGTTGTTAACAACCATTTGATCAATAAATATGAGAGATGCCCTCTCAAAAAAAAAAAAATAGTGCTCAGGGCAAAGCAGCAATAATCACACTAATACGACTTGAAACAACAGTGGTACTTTGGTGTGTGGCCAACATGCTGTACATGGGCTCCCCATATCATCACACAAAGTATTAAAAAGGTGTGTACTTAAGAATGAGATTTAATATATTTATCATTACTACTTCATCAGAAACTTTTTAAAGTGTGAGTGCCGTATTTGTTACTGTGAGACCATGAATGTTGGTGGAAAACACAACGATTACTAATAACACTCAGCACTTCTGCCTGATTCTCACTAAGGCACTAGCAGCTTTATCCACCATCTCTTCTGCACCATCAGTGCAAAAAGCAACACAGTAAAAAAGACAAATAACATCTTAGTATTATTATAAAAAGAGTTTTCACCTATAGATCCCCTGAAAGGGTCTTGGGGACTCTTGGGGTCCAGAGTACATTTTGAGAACCTGTGCATTAGAACTTCTAGAACAATTTAATAATGGGGTGATATGGTTTCTGTTTCTTGACCTAATTGTAGTGGAACTGCCTAACACGTAAATACAAATTATGAGTCTAAATTTACTTATTTATTCATTTGCAAATTTTAGACAATGCTTCTTCAACTTCATACCCTGATGCTGAAATCACTGCCAGTACCAATGGGAAAGGGAGCCCTGGGGGGCAGTCACCCAGCCCCGTGCAATTCATGAATAGTGTGGGAGCAGGGGACTCCAGTCGCTCAACTCTTCAGAGGTACTCCAACTGGATTCATGTTTTCACTGCATTTTACCTTTATATATGAGATTTCACCTATATATGAATACATATATATTTTTTTAAATCTATATATGAATCTAGATAACAACTTCAGTGATTTAATTACCCTGGAAACAGATTGGCAGTAGTGAAATCCCCCACTTCCAGCCCAGCCCTTCTGTTTTCTCTTTATATAAATGCTACCTCCTGCGTCTTTTCACAGCATTCCTAGTCAGTTAGTAACAATATATTTATAGGAGAGCATTAATTTTCATTTCTGACTCTATTCTTCTCAGCCTTCCTATATGCAAGTTTGCTGTTAGGATTTAGCTTTACAACTACTGTCTCTTTGACTCAGAGAGTATGGTTTCCCCTCCCTTTTCTGTCTGCTGCAGCTTATAATTACCCTGTCTAGAATCAGAAGATAAATAGAGTGCTTGCTACACAGGTGCTCCGATACTGAATAGGTGCAGAGGAGCGTGGAAGCAGCCCTTGGTGCCAGTTCTCACAGCGCATGCGATCCGCCCTTCTTATCCCACTGATGATGGTGATACACCAGCATCTCACAAACGCTAACTGCTGATTTTAAGACAGTGCTGATTTTCGGCACCTATCTATCCCTCTATTGGTAAAACGGTGCTAAAGAAACTAGTTCTACTAGAGAAAGAATTGCTATCATTAGTGCCACCATTATTTTCTAACTACTTTTGTGCAGGGACTCTAAAACTGCATTCAGGATGAGACAGACCAAGACTTCATGGAGGATGCAGTTTTGTATGAAATAGACGTCTTCTCCTTTGGCTCAAAATATGCACTATATGGCATACAGATACAGTGTTTATTGGATTTAAATGCAGAATTTGCCTTGCTGTGATGGGGAAGGAAGTATTGCTGCATGCTGATCTGTGGTTTGGCATATGTATCTTCATATTTTCTAGAAAGTAATCATCCTCTTATTCCAATACAGAATTTCACTGCTTGCCATTTTGTTTATAACACCTACTCTTCTTACTCCTCTGATTCATATTTTCACCACATTTTGCCTACAATATTAATATTTTGACCAATTTTAGTGATTTTATGATCTTAGAACTGTCAGTGGGAAACTCCCTCATTTTAATCCTAGTTTTTCCTCTGTCTCATTACATGAATGCCACCAATTCTAAAGCCCCTTCAGCCTCAAAATTGTAACGTATAAAATGGAAGGACAGATAACTATTGAAAACATCAAGGTTCAAAATCTGTATCAGACAGGTCAATCTATAAGTATATGAAATATATTAGTATATTGCTGTTACTTTATATTACATGTAATATATATCAGAATGCCTTCATTTTTCCTGTCCTATCAACCTGATTCTTTCCCCTTTTGCTCTGCTTTCTTACACTCCTCAAAATTCCACAGGATTAGCTGCTCACCTCTTTCTTTCTCTGAATGCTGCCCCTGTTGCTGGAGGTAGCATGTGCTCTACAGTTTCTACCCCCCAAGCCATGCTAGTGGCCTAACATGCCTTCTCTGAAGGTAAGCACGGACACATGGATCCCCTCCTTGGGGTCCAGTGTAATAGACTAGGAATCCATTGAATCTCGCATTCAGAGGCAGAACTGAGACACCATACCCATTTTCCTTTTTCTCTGAAGAGTCTTTTGAAAAGACATTGAGCACTCTCTTGATATTCTGAAGAAATGCATTTGACCTTTAAGTCACCAGCCCCTGAATAGTTTGTGCTGACCTACTTTTTCACTTGCAGCGTCATCAGCGGTGTTGGGGAACTGGATCTAGACAAAGGGCTAGTGAAGAAGGCTGAGCCGGACACCAAAGACAAACCATATCCCGACTGCCCCTTCCTGCTGCTAGATGTGCGAGACAGAGACTCCTACCAGCAGTGCCACATTGTCGGAGGTAAGAGAGAAGGCTTTACAGTGTCTCCCTCCCAAGAACAGAGCCCGCTCTTGAGTGCAGCCAGGCTTGAACCACATCCCATGGCCAGCAGTTAAGGAAACCATGTGTGTTAGTGGGAATCTGTAGGTTGGCTCAACCATTATGCTCTGAGAGAGGCTAGAGATGTTCTCCGATGGCTCAGGGGGCCCAGTGCTAAGTGTCAGGCAGTGGGGAGAAGCTTCCTATTTTGTTCCTAGTGTCCTGTTTCTTTTCTTTTACAAAAGTATTTAGGTTATGGCTCATTTATTTTGAAAATGTGTTTCTTTTCACTTTTTTAAACTTTAAACCAGCTGGGAATTGGGGCCAAGTTGTATTGGGAGCTACACACTTCCTAAGATTTTTCTTCTCTTCGCAGCTTACAGTTATCCAGTTGCAACTCTGTCTAGAACAATGAACCCTTATTCAAATGATATTCTTGAATATGTATCCTTTGTTTCATTTTAAGGAGTTGGGTGGTATGAGGATTATAAGAACCAAACTTACCATGAATCATGCTCCTAGAAGAAAACTCTGTGAAGGACCTTATATTAATTAGCTTACTTGACATATCTTAGAATTTGGATTCTTAGCTGTTGCTGAGGATCCTGACAAAGCAGATGCTTCCAAGCCATCTACAGGTGGCCAAAAACATTAGGTTAAAGGTTATGGTCCATTCATAGTCCTAAGACTTTTCTCCACAGAAAGTTTTCCCAAGTATAACTTAAGAAGTAAATTCTTTCTATTTAAAATTTTTTTCTTCCAAAAATTTTAACTTTTTTTGTTCATAAAAATCATATAAGAAAATACTCTAAAATATAACAAGTAGAATTGAAATCTCTAGTAATCACACAATTGAACAACTCTTAACTATGTTTTTTTGTATCTTTTATTCAAGTCTGTCTTCTATGTGTTCTTTTTAAGAAAGTAGAAATAGTACTGTGTATATAATTTGGTATGTTGCTTTCCCCCACTTGATAATACTGGGTACTTCCCCAAGCTACCACCAGCCCTTTATGAACTGCATTCAGATGCAGTATACTACCTCATCTTCAGATGTGCTGTGATTTACTGAACCATTCCCCCCTACTGGACCTCTGGTGGTTCCCGTTCTTTTACTATTATAAATAAGGCTGCACTGGACACATTGGACACAAAAGTTTTTCTATTTCCTCATCTGTAAAATAAAGATTGTAATACTTTCCAGGTTTGTAAAGAAAAAAGAGCTAAAGGGTATAAGGGTGTAAATGTGCTGTCTTGGACCATGCTAATACTAGTTTATAAAAGCAAAGAATAGCAGCTCGTATGGCTTCCATGACAGCAGAAAATCCAGTAACTGCTAGTTTGACAGGTAAAGAGCGGGACTGCCCGATGGTCCCTCAACTCAGAAAGGCGAACCTTGATGATTCTTTGTTCCTTGGGGGTTTCTTTAGAGTCTAGTGCCATTATCTCAGTGTGGTCAAACCTTAACTCATCTGACTCTTAGAAAAATGCCCACGGCAAGATCATCATTCTGTACGACGACGATGAGAGACTGGCCAGCCAGGCGGCCACCACCATGTGCGAGCGGGGATTTGAAAACCTCTTCATGCTCTCCGGAGGTGAGCAGGACTGTATTCTGCTTAGGACTTAAAAGACAGATATTTGGAGTCATGTTCCTTCAATCCCACCTCCATCACCTTTTTTCCTCCCCGTGCTCAGAATTTAGTATTCTGGAAAGAGGGAAAACCGTGCTGGCTGAAAGGAAACAGGAGTTACGTGAAACTTCTGTTAGCTCCATCAGCACATGTTTTTAACTCCTGAAATAACGATGTTGCTGTAGGGCCCTGTAAGAAAGCCTTAATGCTGAAGGTCTGAGCAAAAGGATCCTGGCAGAATTTTCAGAATCTCATGTAACAACTGATATTTTCTGGTATAATTTACTTAATAGTGAAGCAGTTACGAAAGATTTTATGTCCTTGTGTTGGCCTCGACTTGGAGACCAAAGATTAGAAGACATGCTGGTTCCTTTCCAGGTCTTGCCTTAGCCTCCCTGTGTTAATGCTGCCTTTTTTCATGATCTTCCACACCCAGGTCTGAAAGTCTTATCTCAGAAATTCCCGGAAGGACTGATTACAGGTTCCCTGCCAGCATCTTGCCAGCAGGCCCTTCCTCCTGGTTCTGCCCGGAAACGATCCAGCCCCAAAGTGCCACCCTCACCAGCTGAGAATAAATGGAGATTTACCCCAGAAGACTTAAAAAAGATAGAATATTACCTGGAAGAGGATCAGGGGCCTACAGACAATCCTAGTAAGATATTTTGATTTTGTCAGACACTACTTTCTGTAGAGCTGGAGATTTGCAGCTTTGAACATCACCCCCCAATGAAAAGCTAGATCTCTTATAATACATTCAGAATCTTAAGAAATATTTTCAGGGGATGGAGACTGCAGGTGCTGTGTGGGGAGGGTGGTGACAAGTGGGGGTGACCCCAGATTGTGGGAAGAAATGAGGTATTGCACTCAGACATAGAAAGAGATGAGAATTTATCAGTCAAATAAAGTGTATTATCTTAGGCAGAGCTGAGAGGCTAAGCTACGGCAATCAGATTCCCTCTTGGGAAGTTGTTCCCTTTTGCTGCTTCTGGGTGCATTTATACCACTTCGGACCTTCCCTTTGGCCCACTTCTTTCTCTTTTCTCTCCTCTAAATGCTCCTGTACCTTTCTCTACCAAGAGAGAATGAAGGACAGGCTGGGTTGGTTGGGGATAATGGAAAGGAAGGCAAAAAAGCCATCCGGATGCCCTTTCATTCCTGCCCCCTCCCCCCACCAAGTCCTTCTCAAGGATGAAGAGCAGGTTATAGCCTGAAGTAGATGCTGAATAGGACATCCTTAGCTTAAAAGTGGTTATACCAGAGCACTTCATCAGTCTAAAAGTATACTTGGTAGATTGACCCAGGAATCATTCCTGCACTCTGCTCCCTGCCCTCTTGCTCCCTTCAGGCCGGCTGAGCCAGGCTAACGCCTGTGGAAGAGCCTCCAAGGTTCCAGGGGCACACAGCGGATCACATCTGCCCGCCGGGGGTCCCGGCGGCCCCGCGAACGCCCATGCCCTGGGCAGTGGCCGCCTGCAAGGCAAGCCCTGGAAGTAACGACTTTGTCAGCCTTAGACAAATAAATGTGTTTCCGCCTTTCGGAACCTCTGAGCAGTTCCCACACTGGTCATTTTCAGGAACTGCTGCAGAGGCAAGCCCAAGACCTGCGTGATAGGCCCTCTTCCTGTCTCCAGCGCCTCTTGCACACCACTCGGCAAGGAGTTTTACAAAAACCAGAGGCATGACAGGCTCTAGCGCCCTCCCTATTGTTTACAGAATATTTAAGTCTCTGAAACTGAGTAGGCAAAAAAGAGTCTAATTTTTGTAGGCTGTTTTTTTTTTTAAACAAAGTTCAGCTTGTTTTGTTCTATATCCTGCGTTGTTGTGTAAATACTTCAGTCACATCTGGTGTGTTCTTCCCAACCAGCTCTTTTTCACTCGCTGTTCCTGGTTCACGAAGGTTCTCCAGGTGGGCTCTGCAGCCCCGGGCTTCCGACGAGTCCTAGCCTTCAGCCGTCCCCAGCCCCCACCAGGTGTGGGCCCTCTGGCCGAGGAGCTCTTCTCCCAGCACCCACTGCAGGCTCTGTTGGGAGTTTGGAGACTGGTACCTTGAGCACAGCTCAATTTTGCTGCTTTGTAGAGCAGCTCTCACACCTCCCGATTCTCACACTTGCCTCTCCTCACTAGATGTTTTCTGGAGGCAGCATCTGCCGTGATGTGTGCTCAGCTGCCTTCACACAGGGCCGAGGGCCCCTCCCAGGAAAGCCCTGTCCATTGTAGAGCCCCGGGCTAAGAGCCACTGAAGCCGCTGGAGCTGTCCCTCACTTATAGTTGGTTTGTCAATTGTAAATTCCCATTACCCATCTCCTCCGTTTTTCCGAGATGGGTAGAAATTATGGCCACTTGAAAACATCGGCTTCAACTGGGCAGCTGCATGCACACGGGTGAGGACGACTCCAGGGTCCTTTGTCAGAGCTCTGGCTTAAAAATACAGTATTAGTCTAATTGAGTAATTAGGGCAATTTCCTGCTTACTTTTCATTCTCATGACTGAGCTGTGATTAGGAGGTTGTGATTATAGATTCTGGTTTGGGCCAGAATTTTGAATCAGCATTAATTGAATTGCTAGATGACTGACATTCATTCCATTTAATTGGGTGAACAAAAGACCTCAGGTAAGGATGAGGAGCTCTGAAATCATCAGGAAAAGGAAAAAAGCCCTGTTAATTTTTACGGTCAGTGATCTGTAGCTGTGATAAGGGCTAAGGAATAAATTGTGCTCTTTGTCATGGCAACCGGCTTCAGAAAAGCCAACTGAAAATTGCCTGTCCTTAGGTGGTCACCGCTGCTGCCGCAGGGTAAGAGTTGCCGTAAAAGGACTATTTTCTCGCCACCAAAAAAAAGAAAAGTACCACAGTATTTCTAGCATGGGGACTGTGTTTGTAAGAGAAATAAAGGTAGTAAATGTCTCATAGAGACATATGGAAAAATAACTTTCAGATTCAGCCTAGCTCTGTTTCAGTGTGTTTATTCTCCTCTACTTGATTTCCAAAGTGCAACATATTCCAATGCTTTAGAAATCAAACAAACCAGGGACATTGTTCAGATGTCAAGCCGTGCCCAGTTCTCCACAAGATTCAAGAATCTTGTATAAAATCCGGCCAATGTACACATAGCTTTAATGAGGAGCCTGTCATGTTTCCCCATAAATTTATTGCCTGAGAACTTAGTTCAGCTTTTTGCTGATGCCAAAATGCTCTGGCTTTTTATTTTCTTTACAGCATAGATTTTTTTCTTGGTGCAAATTTTTCCACACTCAACTTTCCCCTAGCATGGACAAGATTTCAGCCATTTTTGACACATACACATTTTTAAGAAAAAAAATGTCTTTCTTAACAAAGTTCTGGTTATGCCATTTTCAAGTTGACTGGTCAGGAGTTCAGATTTCTCCTCTCCATTCTTTTTTTGAAAGTAAATGGTAGTCCCCCTTTATTCTATTCTACATTGTCATCACCAAACAACACCAGTGGAAAGTCAGTTTAGTAGACATGTTAGAAGTGAAGTGCTGTGCATTTATTTGGCTGAGAGATCTGACAGGTTGAATTTACATATGTTTCTCCATAGTGCTGTGCCCTGTTGGTAAGAATTTTAAATAATTACTCTTCAAAGACCTGTTCTGATTCTGCACTTTGTGCATTAAATGTCCCACTCAGTTTTTATATGCTCAAGGTATTGCTTTGAATGTTCTACCTTACTAGTTTCTTCATTAGACTAATTGACATGTATTATTTAAGTGATTGAGATACTCTGTGCAATTATGAGTGTTGAAAATTAAAATACATAGTTATTACTTTGTTGTTTGCTGTTAATATGCTGAGATATGCCAACTTCTTTCTTTGTTGAGATGATTTAGGGGAGCCACATAAGACTGGGGTAATTCTAAAGAGTACCTCTCTTTGCTGCATCTCCCAGGAAGGCGTATATTCTTTGCATAAATAAACCAGGAAAGCATTCCAATGAGGGCAAAGACCCTTAGCTCTCAAGACTGAGGTCCTGGGTTTCAACTCGTGCTCAGGCAGGGACTGATTGTCTGTCACCTTCGCACATTTACAGCAGGACTTTCTTGCCAGTTTTTCAGGGACAGACAAGCCGCCCTTGCCTGACCCCTAGAAAGAAGGAACTTGTGACCCCCTAGACAGAAGGTGCTCTATTGACGTACAACTACAGCTCCATCTGAGCAATCGTGATGGCCAAAGGCTAACTAATGCTAGTTCACTGCTTCAAAAGGATATGGGTTTACAAAAGGAAAGAGAAGCAGGGGAACAAGAAATGGTGGGGAGGGAGCAGAGGGAGTAGCCACATTACTCATCTGAAAACAAGAACATCTGGGCTGTTAGACTGTTCAGCTCTCATCTATTGCAAGGTATAGAGTGATTCGAATGGCCTAAAAGTAATTTTTTTTACCTGGAGTAGAAAATCAGAATCAGCACAGTTATATTGGACTTGGTATAAACCAGAATTAAAAGAGAACAAATAGTGTTCATTAGTTGCTAAGGGATTTTTTTCTGCAGTGCTATTAAGATTATACAAAAATTCAAGACTTCAGGCTACTCACTGAGAAAACAGAACAAAACAAAACCTTCTTTTCTCAATTCCCTTGTGGAATATAAGTGAAATCAGAGCCCTCAGCTAGGAAGAAATATGTAGGTAATTTTTCTTGTGTAGGTTTTTGTTTCTGTCTTGTTATATATTGGTTAGAGTCTGTCTTTATTGTATCTGACATTTTTAGGGGAGATAATTAATTTCCTTCCACCTGGATTTAAATCCATGCCTCCCTCCTTGCTCTACTCTGAAGATAATTATTAAGAACCTTTTCTTCCCCAGTTCCAAAATCTTAATGTGCATTTATTTTCTTCACAATTCTTTCAAAGATACAACTCCCATGATTTTTTTTTCAAGAAACTTCAGAAATGTGGATTATAATTCATCAGTTTAATTATGTGGTCATGGTATGCTTATATGCAGATTAATTTTTTAATTAATCTGTTTTCCCCATAAAGACAGTAAATTAGACATACTATGCTTCCATAGTGTTCCGAATACATTTGAGTAGTAATACTTCCCTAGAACTGTATTAATCATTTAAATTGTTATTGCAGTGTTCTTAAATTGGTTACCCACATCAATTATAACAAAATATGTAATGGTGGAAATTTGTCAGCATTGAATTCTGACAGAACCCATGCAGTGCATGTTTTAATGTGTGTTTACAAAACTATTTGTCACACCACGATCCCCTTATGGTTTTACTCTCAAACCTCTTTGTTCTGAATGCAGAAGCAAATTTTCTTCGCCCATGTAACGTCCTGAAGCACCTGGTAAAATGTGCGGCAAACAGAGGCCACTTATTAAATGCAGTTGACTGATGGAGTACATTTTTTAAAGGATGCAATATGTCTTCTTTTTGAAATTACTTTGACTATAAGCTCACCAACTATATGACAGAAACCTTTGGTAAGTGTTTGTGAATCAATTAACTGAACTCGTCAAGATGAAGTCTGGGATGTGATGCCCATTGTGGTGGCCACTCAATGCTGGTCTGTCGTTCTGGAGACCCGGAAAGTTCATTATCTTTTGTCCACTTGTACATCTTGCTTTTGTAGGCAAGGCATTCACAACCCTAAGATTTTCAGATTACAGGAGGCGCCCAGAGAGCTGTTGAGGGTGGTGTTATTACCCTGGCTGTTTTGCAGTCCACCGGGCGTATTTTCACCATCCCCTCAGGCTCACAGTATAGCCTTCATCAAACACAAGTTGCACTATCCCCATCTGAGAGTGGGTTATTTTTCATTTTTGTTTCAAATCTTGAAGATTTCCGGATAATAATACTAGCAAACGTTTGTGGAGAGTGTGTTAGGTAGTGTACCTACATCCTGTGTTAGGTGGTTTGACTTGCTTAGTTCTCACAACAGGCCTATGAGGCAGGTGCCCCCACTTTCAGGCAAGGAGACTGAGGGTTGAGTGGAAATGAAGCAAATTGTCCTGGGTCACTGAGCTAGATAGAAGATTTGAGAAACCAGGATCCAGCCCAAGAACTGTGGCTCCAAGCCAGGTTTGTCCAGCCACTCTGGACTTCCCATTCTCGGGACAGGCATGCTGTCCCTCGGGATGCCTCCAGTGGACCCACAGAAATGTAACTTGCCCTTCACTGCTGGCTTGGCTTCCCTTCCCTCGTCCCCTGAGGTCACCTGAAAGCTTTCCTCTTCTGTGTGCACGAACGATGACGGAAATTAGAGACTGAAACATCTGCTCCTGGGAATACGTATTTCCACATTTGCGCTGTCTGTGTCTAGTGACCAATCTTGAAGACAGGTGCCCCAGGTTTTCTGAGGTTTGTTTTGTTTCTTATGAAATACTAATGAGGTGTCACTTAAGAAATGACAGTTACTCTTAGACTGTAGGAAAAAAAGCAGAGTGTTTAACTGAGAAACTGAACTCTTCATTCAATAAACCATATTGATATGTCTGATCTTTTCTTTCCTGTGTGGTGATGTTTCTGATTTAGGCCGAGACATAAATTGCGTGAACTGGCTCACAGCCACAGGCCTGGGTTTCACGGGAGGAAACCTTTGTGCCTCAGTCAGTGTCAGCAGAGCTCTTACTCCACTGCACTCTTGTAGAAATAAGCCTGAACACCACTACAGTGGTAAAGCAGACTTTTAATTTTCTCCTTTTAGTTTGGTAATAAACATTTGGCAGTCACAGTCTCTGGGGCTGTTAGATGATGCTCACAGTTTGAGTTGCCAAATTAATGTGGATCCTGAAAGCTTGGGAGAGAATTCATTACCCTTTGACGGTGTTTCAGATTTGATGGTGCTCTGTGCTTTTTCTTAGGGTTCTTTCTTCATCTGGCCGATCCGAATGTTACAGTTAGTCATGTCCATTTCCTGTAAGCCGCATCTGGGTCTTAGTGTATTCACAGAATGATGTTTCTCTCCTCAGAGTCCTTATAAGAGGCTGTCTGCATCATCACATCCACCTAGTCCCACTTGCCCTTGCACAGCAATTACCGAGATGACATACAGCCCTGCACTGGAGGAGGGACCAGTGAGGTCACATCTGGACTGTAGTCAATGACGTATCAATTTTAACTTCAGGCCAAAGCCAGAAAGCTAGACATAAGTATCTGAGTGTTAATTTAAGGGACCCCCGGAAGGACTCTCATGGACCACCAAAAGCCTGCAGGCCACTCATTATATATGAGAACCATATGTAACTAAGAAAAAACTAAAATTAGTTCATTTAAAAATAAAGATTTTTGGCAAGTCCCAGAGAAGAGGCATTAGCATAATCAACTCCCCAGATTGCTCCAGGAACTGAATGTGAGCAGAAAGCGCTCTTGGGGATTTTCATCTGAGCTCCGTGCAGTGCCTAGGAAATGGTGCCCAACTGGGGGACAGGAGTCACCCCTTCCCGTGGCAGAAACACTGCTGCTTCCAGCACTATCTGGAATGTGAGTTTTTCTGAAGACAAGACATTGCATTGTCCTGGGCAAGGTGGTGAAACATGATAGAAGAAATTAGACAAATTATAAAAAAGAATCTGAGCACAAATTAAGATGGTCATTTAGATGTTTGATGTTGATAATAAGTTGATATTAGATAACTTTACCCACAGGTTATCTGGCATGTTTGAAATGGCTTTTTTTTTTCCTGATTATAAAAATTCATTGCAAGAAATGCAGAAAAGGATAAGGGGGAAAACCACCACCACTACCCAGGGTAACCACAGTTCTTACCAGGGAATATATCCTTCTAGGGAGAGTGTATGTGTATGTTTCAAACAAAAATGAGGTTCATACCCAACATACTATTTTATAACCAGCATTTTTTTTAACAACTGTATGAAAGTATAAATCACATACCATACAATTCACCCATTTAAGAACAATGCTTTTTGGTAAATTTACAAAGTTGTGCAGCCATCACCACAATCCTGACTTGGAACATTTCTTGCATGCGCGTCATAGTTCTTTCAGGCATTTTTCCGTGTCAACCCAGACCTCAGTGGCTTCATAACACTCCATTGTGTAAACATGTGCTGTCTGTATCAATACTGGTATCTAGTTACATCTTTTCATTTTTATTTAAATTTTTATTATTACAACCTTGTATGTACATACATTTGAACTTGTCTGAATATCTTACACAAGTGGACTTTCTGGGTCAAAGCACCAATACATTGAAAATTTTTATTTGTATTGCCAAATTGTCCCCTGGACAGCTGGTGTAAATTATCCTCCCACCAGCAGACCAGTACTGGGCTTAGTTCTTTATACCCTTCATAACACTGGCTTGTCAGTCCTATTCTTTGTCAGTCTGATGGGAGAAAAATGATGTATTTGTTTTTCTTTGATGTACAAAAAAATCACTTGGGGACCAGTATCATTCATACTTTCGTTGGCTTTTTCTTTTTCTTCTTTTGGGAATTGCCATTTTTTTCTTTTGAAACATTAGGGTGTTTTTAAACCCCTTATAAGAGCTCTTTCCCTGTCAAGGTTGTTAAAGCTTTTTCCCATTTGATGCAGTGTTTTCTAAAATTATTTCTCTTGTTGTTTTAGCTTCTTATTTATAAATTAAAATGTTTTACCCATAGATTTGTAAAAATAATGTGTCTTCAAACAAAATACAAAACTCTTCCAAAATTTGAAAATATGAAAAAAAAAGTATTAACAACTCCCATGTCTTCATTTAACAGCATTTATTAAGTACCTACTGTGTGCCATGTACATGGCCAATCAGTAGGGATTGTGTCAAACAAGACAAGGCGCTCCTTGCCCTTCTGGAATTTTCATTCCGATGCTTCACTTCTTGTCTTTCCAACTTCTCTAAGACTCTTACTTGCTCAGGGCCTTCCTTTCTAAACTACAACTCAAGGGATTCAAAATAACTTACATAAGTAAATATAAAAATTTTCAAGCCTACAATATACAGATTATAAAATTCATGAGTTCATTAGTAAAAGTGGAGAACATTCATTCAACACACATTTATCGGGCCCATCTGTATGTCAGATACTCCTGATGGCTTTGGAGATAGAAAGCCAAGTGGTCGCTGCTATCAGGGTACACAGTTTATTTTCTATCAAGTAATTCCACCCTTGAAGTCTAAGTAAGCCACTTTTGTAAAATGATGTTACGGTCTTGCTAGCTCAGTATTTTTTCACTTTCCAGTCAAAAATTAACAAAGCTTATCAAAAAATTAAGATCAGCTTTTTACTTTCCTGAATGGAGCTGTTAAAATGAGTTTCATCATACCTACATAGATTGGAAGGAAGTGTTTCCCCAAAGGTAACTTAAAGGAATATAAAATCTTTAGGTCATTTTTCTGCAAAGACTGAAACACCATTTTACCTTATCTCATAAACTTCAATGTGTATACGTTTATACTATATGTATAGTCAGCCTTATTCTTGCTGTTCTTCAGAATGTTTGGTAACAAAAACAATATTTTAAAACTTCCAAGATTTAAATTCCCCAATGGTCCCTTAAAAAAAGAAAGTATTTGACCTTCATTCAGTCCTTAGAGCTGGCTGCGTTGTTACCTGTCACCTGGCTGATGTGGGAACAGGCTGCCCACCCTGCCCGCAGTGGCCTTTGTAAAGGGAGGTACCGATCCACCCCCCACCCACCTCCCAGGGACTCCTTTGGAGTAACCTGCTCCACATTCACATCTTAAGAGATTTGGAAGGGACAGAGGTAGATTCTTGCTTTGAAAAAAAGTTGAGATACCCTTTGTATTGTGCCAGCCACTGAGAGTGACCTCCCAGCCATCAGAATCACCACACCAAAAGAAAGAAGCCCAATTCTAGGAGCTGTGGAAGGTATGAAGAGGAGAGCCTAATGTTTGATACCATGGTGGTCGATGGAACAGGAGAGGGAGGAGGGACGAGGTACTGAAAGATGCTAGAAAGGATGTGGCAAATGAAAAATAAATACTATCCCCAAAGGCAAAGTCTTCATGATATACTGTAATTAATCAAATGTCCCGGGTTTGGCGTTTGTTCTTTATCTTAAAATAATTCTATTTAACTGAATTGTTTTCTTTCAGTTTAATTCAGGTGCGAGACTGTACTTAGTGTTATAGAAATCTGCTTTACCTGGCTGCAACGTCTATTTGGGATGCAGTGGCCACCAGGATTATTCTAGTTCATACTCAGAGTTATTACTTTTGTAGACAAATGGATCCAACCAGCTAGGCTATTATACAGGCTGAATTCCCCATCCCTGCAGGGTGCCAGGCATTTGGTTAGCAGCTATGGCTGCCGCTTGCTACTAAGGTATGAAGAAATCATCCCACTGATGAGCTGAGCTTGGGGTGGTCTAATTAAAACAGACGCCACTTGGATACAACTTCACAGGACCTGGAATGCAGGGGAACCTAGGGGTCATCTAGACCAACCACCCACATATTTCCAGTGAGGCTGCAGGAACTCAATCGTTTCTGCCCCATCTTGAAGGGGCAGATGCATTCCCACACACGAGCTCCAAGATTCTGTTCCATGTACAAACTTTATTTGGTTGCCTGGGTGGGGCTAAAGAAGAGGAGGAAGAGAGAATTTAAGGGCTGGGTCAGTAGGGGTGAGTTACAGTGTACTCCATGATGGCCTGAAGCGCCAGCCACGTCTCCTGGGCCGAGGGGATGATCTGGGAGGCTGGCAGCAGGAAGCCGTAGCGCCCAGTGTCCCGGAGCTCAAAGGTGAAGGAGTACTTGATGCCCTGGTTGTAGGTCCAGTCGACGGTGCTGCCGCTGGCTTGGTCTGGGGTGGGAGCAGAAATGGGAGGGCAAAGGGCAATCACTGAAATGTTTACTTGGGCCAGCCCGGTGCCTTGTACAGTGCGGATCAGAATCAGCATCTATCTAAGTGCCTTCTGTTGACCAAGCAGTCGCTTCGTCCCTAGAAGCTCCTGCAAAGGGTCTCAGCCTAAAAGGCCCAGAGAGGTGGACCAGCAATGGTTCTATCACTGGGGATGCAAGAAAGTTCCTGCAAATGTGAATGCCTCACTGACAGCCACCTCTGTCCCACAGCCACTTCCATCAAGACTCTGAATATACCAGAGTCTCCACCTGGCGACTAGGATTTGTCCCCTAGGGCTCCGGTCTGCAGGGGAAAGTGCAAAAGGCCAGAGTTAAAGCAAAAGCCCCTTGTCTGTCTTTTTGAAGGAAACTTTACCCAGATTTACAGTTAACAGTGGGTAGCAAAGCTGCTTTTGAATTGGGCAGGGGTGAGGAAGGTGGCTGCATATCAGAATTTACCTTGACAATACTGAACAAAGCAAAAACTTTTTACTCAGGGTCAAAACAGTTTCCAAAGACGGCTTGGAAGCCAAAAGCAAGGCCAGCCCTCGGTAAGATGGGGGCCCACCAAAGCCTGGGTGCTCTGTGCAGGAAGGATGGAGGGGTGTGTGCAGCCCTCCCACCTCTGTCCTGTCCCGTTCTCCTGCGTCCTGTCGTCTGGCAGGCTTGCCGCACTCCCGAGGGGCCCACAGCATCTGTCCCCCACCCCCACCTGTCTCCTGCAACCCTGGGCCCTCACTCCGCTGCAGCCATGCCAGGCCCGGCGCTCTCCCTGTTAGTCCCAGCACACCAGGCCCCATCAGATGCTCAGGGCCTTTGCTCTAGAAGGTTTTTCTGCCTCGAAGTCTCTTCCCCAGATAGCCTCTTGGCTCCCTCCCTCAGTTCTTTCAACACTTGCCTAAATTTTACTGTCTCCATGAGGCCCACCCTTCAACCACTTCCACTCCCAGTATTCCTGATTCCCCTCATCCTCTTCTAGATTTTCTTTTTCTCCTTAGCATTTATCACCTAACATACTGTATCACTTACTTATTCATGTTTATTGTCCATCTCCCTGGCCAGGATGTAAGTTTCCTGATCTTTGCTTATTTTATTCCCAACTGTATCCCAAATGCCCAAGACAGGACCTGGTGCACAGTAGGTGCTCAGTAAACATTTGTTGACTTAATTCCATTTGGATACAGCAGTGCCCCTCCCAGGAGCTTGCATGTGTAGGTAAGCTGGGACAAAACGGGTATACTCTGCCACTGAAGGGCACTGGAGGCGAAGTATTACTTTAAGTTGAATTTCTTGGTCTACAAATGCCAGCAGGACTATACATCAAGCTGGACTTAATGCCAAGACAAGAGGTCATGAATTCTCAGGGAACTAACATGTCTGTCTGAAGATATCAAAGAAGGCAGAGTTCGTGTGAGGAAAGGAGCCCTTGTAAGGCCCAGCCGGGGGCCATTCTCCTCCTCTCTGCCCCCAGATCTGGGCACCTTGGCCACTTGCTCCAGGAAAAGCCAGCTGTGCTTCCTCCCAAGGCCACCCGCAGAGACCACGCATCCACTTACAAATTGTTTTGATGATACTGCCATATGTGAATTTGGTCCCATACAGAGAGGCAAGGGCTGTCACAGCAGACTTCGCCACCCGATCCTGGAGAAAATGCCAAGCAAGACCACCCGTCATGGCCAGCAGCTCCCAGAGCAGCAAGGCCAGGGTAGCCTGGGGGCTGGCAGGTGACCCTGGGGCATGCACTCCGCAGAAGTGAGCCCCCAGCAGGGAGCAGGACGGGGCCTGGGGAGCTCAGCAGCCCCATGAGCCCCTGACCCCAAAACACATCTGGCTGGCACTTTTCTGCCCTTTGGTCACACAGCAGCTCCAAGGGTGAACTTGGGGTACAGCCTCCAAGTGGAGACCTGGAGCTCGCTCTGTCATCATGTGACAGAAGTGACTTGCACACACTGTGCCTCAGTTTCCCAGAAAGAAAGGGAAGCTAGTCTGCCCTGCTGGTGTTCCCAGGGAGAAAGGGGCACCAGGCCCTGTGCAGGCAAATCTGAAGGACAAAGACCCAGGCCTGCCCAAAACTGCCTTTGGGGTGGGAGGCAAGCAGGGGGTCAGCACATACCAGCTCATTCTGGTCGGGGGCTGGTTCTGTTTTGTAGCCGTAGGGATAGAGGAGGAGCTGGGAGTAGCTGTGGATGGAGATGAAGGCCTTGATGTTCCCATGGTCCTTCACAAAGTCCACAATGGACTTGACCTCCACTTCCGAATTGGCAAACTGGCCGTGGTAAGTTTCTGAGCAGGGGTTTTGGCTGGCTCCGGCCACTGTAGGAGGAAGCAGGGTGGGGGGCTGGTGGTTGGCGTTCCTTACAGCCAAGCAGAGTGGCTTCCACGGCATCCAGTTGTTTGCATGGAATAAGGGTGAGGTGGGATGCAGGAGGGCTCACCCCCACCCTGGGATTAAGGTAAGGCCAGGGGCCGCTCATGTGACACAGCCTGGGGTCCTGGCCCCCCCACCCAGTCAGACTTGGGCAGAGCTGTCGGACATGCCCAGGGAGGAAGAAGTGGGAGCCATTCTTGCGGTGAAGGGACCACGAAGGGGAGAACCTGAAGTTACATTAGAAAATCCTTGGATATGTTTCAAGCCTTAGTCCAGTTAGGAGGAACTTCCTTTTTATAGACAAGCGTATCTCCAGGTGCTGCCTCCCTCCCTGAGCCTCAGAGGAGAGACTGACACTCCCCTGCCTGCCCTCTCACTGCTGGGGCAGCAAAGGGGTGGGGGCAGCACAACAGAGGCGGGTAGAAGCCGTTCCGGGTCGTCCCACCCCTGCTCCCCAAGTCACACTGGGCCTTACTTCCGAAGCCAGCATCCCAGTTCCTGTTGGGGTCCACCCCAACGCAGGAGGAGCCGGGCGTGATGGATCGAGTCTTGCGCCACAGGCGATTCTGAGGAAGGAATCAGACACTTGTCCCTCTGCTCTAGGCCCGGGTTCAGAGCCGGCAGAGAGTGGTGTGGGCCGCGAGCGGCCACGGTCAACACAAAGCGCCCCAATCTAGAGCGTGAGTATGGACACAGCGGGATCAGAGACCACTTTTCACCGGTTGTCAACAAGGAAGATCTGCAAAGGGGCCCCTGGGTGAAGGAGAATAGAGGAGGCAGTGAAAGGCATTTGGCCAGAGGCTGCTGCTGGTGGGAAGAGAAGAGGCATGAGGTGCCGCTCCCCCATGCAGACTTGATTGATGACATGTTGTATCTGCCATAGAAATAAAATAAAAACCAGAATCGGGACCCTATTTTCCTCCCAGACATTTGGCAACATCTGAAGACATTTTGGTTGTTTCATTTTGAGGGCTGCTATTTGCATCTAGTGTGTAGAATCGGGATGCTGCTAACACTCTGGGTACACAGGACAGCAACCCCCCAAAGGTTTATGCACCCCAAATGTCAAGAATGCTGAGTTGAGAACTCTGGTCTAGGACAGGTCTATTTGCCTCTCCCTCAACTTCTGGGGATTGAGCTTAGGGGTGAGTAGCTTGTGGGGCTCAGAGGCCAGCAGGCTACCCTGCTTTCCCCAAGAATGGGAGAAGGCCTGTACCTTGCTGTGGGTGAAGGCAAAGCCATCAGGGTTGGTGACGATCTCCAGAAAGATGTCCATGGTGTCAAGAATGGCGGTGAAAGCTGGGTCCTGGCCATAGTCCTCTGTGATCTGGGGGGTTCAGGGAGCAGAGAGGCAGAGTGGGCCAGGCCAAGCATCTGCCATGCTGAGGCAATGGGTGCCTGCCCTCTGGATGGGAAGGGGGGGCCGGGGCTTCTCTGGGCCTTGGACACCAGTGCCCCACCTGGCCAGAGTCCTCTCACCTCCCCATGCTTACCTTCTTTGCAAACCAGACCCCGCTGGCCTGAGTGACCCACTCCCGGGAATGGATGCCCGTGTCGATCCAGATGGCAGGTCGGTTGTTGCCACCAGTGCTGAACTGGACAAGAGATGAAGGAAATGGTCCAGCTGGGCCTTGTCTCCCGTCCCTGAAAGGGAGTGCAGCCCAGGCCAGAGGCCATTGCTCTCTGGGTATCTCAGGCTGAGGCTCTGTTTCTGGGGCCATCACTCAGGTGGGGGTTGAGGGCTGGGGGCCAGAAGGGGTCCGGCAGAACCTGGCCTCTTGTCCTCCTATTGGCCCACCTCGCACCGCTTGGGAGGTCACAAACAAAGCATTTTATCTGGACGACCTGACTCTGGGATACTTTCCACAGTGTGATACTTGATTGGAAACACTTGGTCACTTAAAAGTTTTAATTTGTGTGTGTACAGGTGTGCACACACCTAGGCCAGCATGGAAATTCATAGTGTCCCCCACTGTCGGCACAGAAGTTCGTGTAACAGTGTGTTCTTCTGACCATAGGCATCAATCTCCAGAAAGATGTCCATAGTGTCAAGAATGGCGGTGAAAGCCGGGTCCTGCACAAATGTGCACAAATGTGGTTGCCCTTTCTTAGATCAGTCTTGTGTGTGGGCACCCATTACCTTCAGCACGTAGATGGGACGACCTTCATAGGTGTTGCCGATCTGGAGCTTGCTGACAAGCTGTGGGTGCTCCGCCACCAGCATGTCCATGAAGTCATAGATCTGAGAAGGGTGGGGAAGGAAGGCCGGCCGTAATGGCTTGCGAGCACCCAATGTCTCTCTTAGCAGCTGTTAGCCAGCCTGCTGTGAGCCCAGCAATGCGCAGGAGACACAGCCCAGACCACTCTGGCCACGTAGAGACAGAGCAGATGCCTCATACACCCAGGTCGGCCCTGGCTCTACCAGCCTGATGAAGAACTTGGTGCTTGTGGGGAGTGGCCCCAGGGGCCGCTCACCTCCTCCAGGGTGTGGTAGGTGGCATAGCTAAAGGTGCCAGTGGATCTGGCCCGGGATTGGAAGGCGAACATCTGCTCCTGCTCCTCATCCAGCAGCGCCTGCACATTCTCGATCAGGATCCGGTACCTGATGCCATGGGCCTCCAGGAAGATTTTGACAGCCTGGAGGCTAGTGAAAGGCACTCGGACATCGGTGGCAGAGCCAGGCTGGGCAGGGCCCCTCCAGAAGTCCAGCTGGGAAGGACAAGGGCCACACTGTCACAGTGGGCTGGGAAAGGGCCAGCCCACAGGGTGTTAATGCCAACCCCAGGCTGGGCCCACAGGGTGTTAATGCCAGAATTTCCCCCCGGAACTGGGAATGGATCATGGGTATTAGGGGCAGAGGGCAAAGAGGAACTCTGGGCACTGGACAGAGTCCAAGCATGATCAGGGGGAAGTGGCCCAGGAAAAGAGTGGGGTGGGGGCGGGGGAGCTTTGAGACAGCAAGGAAGAGAGAGAAGTCCTGGAAGGGGGTCCCCTCTTTGCTCATATGCTCAAGGACAGCAACATTCTGGACCTTTGGGAGTTAGGCCACTTCCTAACAGGCATTAGTCCTGTGGCTCCCTTCTGGGTATCTGGGGAGAGAGAGCCGTGCCCCGGGTGACCCAGCAGAGGTGCCCTGGGGCCTTGGGGAGGGCTCTTCCCGTCCTCTGACCTGCAGGTGCTCCAGCTCCTCCAGCTGCTTCACCTTCTGCACCTGGGCTTCATCGGCAGCAGAGATTTGGAGCACCTGGTGCCTGGGCAGAGTGGGAGTGGACACTGGAGCCTGCGTACCCCCTGGGGGCCGTGCACACTCCCCAGGTGGGAGGGGGCAGTGACCTTCTGGAAACCCCAGGCTGGGCTCAGGCCTCTAGGCTGAGCAGTGTGAGGGGGTCTTAGCCATTGGAGGCCTGGGCTCCTGACAAACTCCTGGGCACTGCTGCTAGTCCATCCCTGCTCAGACTCTAGATCTTTCTCCAAAGGCAGCCAGGCCTCCTCTTCTGAAAATTGCTGCTCAGAGCTCAGATTTCTCCAGGGCTCAGGAAGCTGTCCTGAGAGTCTAGACCCCTTCCCAGCCCTGGTCCCTGGTCAGACTCCCTCCCAGGTGTGCTTGTCGGCACCTCTCTGGCCCTCTTCCTGTGCATCTGAATGTCCATTTCCTCTAGACATTGGCTGGGGACTGAGCCCTCCTCTTCCCCCCCTGGGGGTGTCCCCTCCTCCTCTCCACACCCTTACCCAACAAAGTTCTCTTTGCCAAGGACAGTCCCAAGCAGCACGCTCAAAAACAGCAGCCCCCACATGCTGCAGCCAGTTGGGGAAGTCAATGGAGGCTGAGAGAATGTCCTGGGGCCTTTTAAACTCTTCCAGGACAGAGGTCTCTTGGCTGTGCTCAACACTTGTCCTCCCCCTGCACCTGGACCCTGTCCCACGGGGAGGGGGGGTGGGAGTCCTGAGCTCTGGTACCTTCTCATTGTCCCTGATAAAGTGTCAGGGAACCAGGCATCTGGAGAGATAAACCAGGCCTCAACCACTTGGCCAGGAGGTGCCAGCCTGGGTCTGAGGGTCAGCTACAGCTGAGGCCTCCCAGCTGGGACCCTGCTCACGCCCAGCCCACAGCCCTGGGCACCTGCAGCTGATCTGGACTCCAGAGCAGCCCAGCTGGGGCCTCATGCAAGGCAGCCCCTTCTCCCAGGCCCCTGAGAGCAAGCTCTCCCCTCCCTGTGACAGGGCGAGCTGGGACCCTCTGCCCCATGCAGCTCCAACACCTGCTGGCTCCTCACCGCACTGGCTTCTCCCAGGGCTGCCCCTACCCTGTGCATGGCATGACCCCACTGGGGTGCAGCCCTTTGAAGGGCACTTCCCACCGCTCTCCTACCTGGCCTCAGTGGTCTTGTGGGAATCAGATGGAGCTGCTCCCCAGTTTTCCCTCCACTCCCACCACTATGGGGCTCTGAGATCAGGGTTGCCCTTGATAGGAGCTGTAACCCATGTCATCTGAGTAGACAGTGTGATGGGAACCAGGGCCAGACCCCTGCTGGGACTGCACAGTGTACAGGAGAAACTGGAACTCACAAAGGAAGGTTCACTCTGGCCCTGGATGCTAACCTCATGGCAGAGATGTGTGATGCAAATCTGCCCTAAACCACAGGGCTTCCAGCGTCTCCCTGACACCATCTGGGGACCCTGCTCTCTGTCGGGGCTTCAGGCTGGGACGCTGACGACAGCCACGGTGGCCCCTTCTGGTTTGTCGGTTCCCTCTGCCTCCCTCCCCCACCTCCTACCCAGCCACCCCTCCTACGCCAAGGCAAAGTGACCCCCTGGTGTATACTCTCTGGGAAGATGGTAAAACATCAAATCCATCCTCAAAAGACGTTGAGCCCCTATGAAGACTGTCCTTTCAACTCCAGCAGCCCTGCCTGCCCCCCAGGCCCTGGCCAAGGCTCACTACTTCCCTGAAGCTTCCTCTGGCTTTTCTCTCTCCCATACCCACCCCTTCTCTGAACATTGATCCCTTTGCTCATTCATTCATTCTTCTGGGCCAGGGACCATGCCCACCCTAGGGTGATGCCCAAGACAGGGCCCCTGAGCACAGGGGACTCACAGTCTAGGGGAAGACAGACATGACCAACCAGCTTGTGTTCTCTCGGCTTGTCCCAGATACTGTTGCCAAGACAGAATTAGACAGGCCAGAGATCCATAGGAAGAAACCCCATGAAGGATAAAGAAGAGAAAGGCCACAGGCCTGACGCCTGGGAGAGGAGTTGGGGGAGGGAGGAGGGTGGGCGGGGAGAGTTCAGACAGCTGCGCAGGGCTGAGAACACTTCGGGCCGATGCAGAATCTTTGAGCCAAAGCTGCAAGCCTGGGGAGTGCTGCATCCCGCAGGAATGTCAGCACTAGCCCCACGCTGTGCTGTCAGTAGCTGGCACAGCCTGTGGGAAGGTGGCTTCATCACAGCGTGCTAGTGGGGCCATCAGTCAGCTATGCTCCCCACTGACTTGCCCCTGACCACAGAGGAGTCACGTCTAGGGGGAAAGACTGAAGGAACCAGCTAAGGTATTGGTTCTCCAACAGATCTTACCAGAAGCTGTCACCTAGTCATCAGGATCAGACACGTGGGCGACTTGGGGATGCCCTCCTTGCTGCAGGAGCCCTGAGCAGCGCGTTTTCTGGGACATGGCGTGAAAAGTACCAGTGGAGCTATGCATTCAGCACTATGGGCCCACACAGAAGGGTGTAGGGTGGACTTTACCAAGAAGGCGACATTTGACTTGGGTTTTAATAAAGGATTTTGCCAGGCAGAGAAAGGCAGGGATGTTTCTCACACTATTCAGAACTTGAGCACAAACTCACATTTATTCTCTCTTAATTTGTTTCTGTAAAGAGACTGAATTTCCTCAGCCTGGAGCTGTGGCTCACCCATTCCTCCTACCCTCCCTCATCTCTTAGTGCCCCGTAGTGTTCTCAGGCTTTCTGATGCATTCCCCAAGAGGAAAGAAGGTTTTGTAGAGCCTTTCTTTAGTTTGCATTATGAAAACATTATTTCTTTTTGTATTTCTAAGTCTAAAGCTGTTCTATAATTTGACTCTGTTTCATGCACACTACACACGTTGGTAGGCAGTGGTCTTCTGCAAATTTCTTCCAGAAAAGACAAACCCATTGGAAAAGTGGGGGGGCGGGTAGGGGAGGACACAGCCTCACCAAGAGGGCCTCTTGCCACCTCCAGCCATCAATCTAAGGTGTCCAAGAGCCATAGAATCTATTTTTTTGCAAGGTTGGAAGAGAAGAAGTCAATGCTGCAGCTGAAATTAGGGCCAACACCAGCAGGAACCTGGATCTCAGGTGGAGGCTAAATCTAATCCCCTGGGCACACCCAGAGCACCTCAGGAAGCTGACAACTGCCTCTGGGTAGAAACTGTGTGGCTAGAATGAAATGTGAGGCAAAGGGCCACAGCTCTGCCCACCCCACCCCCGTGTAGGCGTTTCCCTCGGTCCAAAGCAAGGGCAGAGATGAAGGCCATTGGCCTGAAGGCTGGGAGAACAGGCAGAGCAACAAAACCGGTCAGCATGAGAAAGAAACCACCAGGCTGCCCCTGGCTTCAAGGACGGTTCGGGGTGGGTGCCTGAACGCAAACAGAGGCCTGCTGCAGCCACACCAGTGTTCGCACGTCCCTCCTTTGGTCTTCCTGGCCGAGCAAACCCAGATGGTGTGCCTGCATCACCCCTCAGGAAAACCACCCCATTCCCTGCTCAGGGATAAATTCGAAGATTGGCCTAAGACCATCAAGGAACCCTATTCTCCTTTGCAAGCAGTTGGTTTGGAGATGGGCGTGTGGCCAGTTTGCCAATGAGACGTGAGGGACTCGGCATTGCCCCCTCTTGAGGAGTCATCTGTCTCTGGATACTGTCAAATCTGTTGCCCCACCTGTGGAGTATATAATATGAAAGAATATATATTTCCTTTTTATTAATTGGGGTTTCTGTTGCTATAAAAAGCTTTCTAACTGATGCACTTACTAAGCTTTTAAAGTGCTTGTATTGTCAGAAGAAAATAGAATTTTAGCCTAGGCAACCCCCCACCCCAAACAGATGAGTCCCTCATCTTATCAGCAGAATGCCTTCGGGCGGCTCACAAACCCAACAACTATCCAGGCAGCCTCGTTGCCAGAGAATGCCCAAGCATGACAGACAGACGCTCTAAGACAATGCCCAGAGACCCCCAAGCCAAAACTTAGAAAATGGGTTGTGAAAGAGGCAGATGGAGAATCGGTTCCCCATGTGCATATTAGGCATCAAAGGGGCACAGCAGACAAGGGAAATCCTCGCAGAGAGCACACAGGGGTGCAGTGAGCGCGGCCGGATACAGCGGCAGACCGGACTTCAGCCAGTCTCCCTCTGGCAAGTGTGTTTAAGGTCATACGTGGTACAGTTGTGTGCGTGGGAAGGGCAGTCCATGAGAATCCGGGGCAGCCAAGTGGTGGACTGTGGCAGGCAGCTCTCATCGGGAGCCCACCCAGGCGCCTCCCCTTCAGATAACAGCACCTCTAATTTCCCTTAACGACCATCCTTCCGGACCCTGAGGCCATGTGACTGAGGTGGACCTAGCCACCTCACCCCACCCCAGCTCCAGGGATGAACCGGCAAATTCCATTTTTTCCTCAAGGCTTTTCAAGTTGGTTTTCGGTCACGGGCAACTGAAAAAGTACACAGCTAACCCAGTGACACCCTCTAACTTCAGAAGACAGCAAAATGGGGGACCAAATGCCTTCTAGCCGTAGAATGCCACAAACCCATTTATATGATTTGGGGCAGGTGACTATGCATCATGCCTTACTGCCTCAGTTTCCCCTCCTATGAAATGAGGGAGTTGGCGAGAATGTTCGGTGGTCTGTTCCAGCGGTAACACTTACTTTTCTAGGACATTTGTGTTTTTCACCCCTAAGCAAATCACAGCTGCCCTGGCAGGTTTGGGCAGGGCAGAGGCTTTGCAGGTTTGTGGCAAGATCGGACTAGAGCACGGAGCCCTGGGGTTTGCCGTGGGTACATGTGCCCAGAGCAGTGCAGGTCTTGAGGGGACACGTCCTGCTGAGGCTTCAGTGGGGGGTGGGGAGGGTCATAGGGCTTGGTGGCATCGTGGAAGGCTGGAGGAGGAGGCTCCAACAGCAGCCTCCTTGAGTTCTGCTTTCACAACTGAGTGCCCAGGAAAGCCTATTTGTTGGTTTACTTTGAAGCTGCAGAATTGTCCCTTCAAAGTGTCTAGTGGTTCTTGTCTCTGGAATGGAAGCAGAATATTTCTGTGGGGCAAGGGTCACCTCAAGAGACAAGCGCTCCAGTGGATCTCTAGGAAATGTCAGGTCAAAGCCCACATCTCAGAGCAGAGACATGGAAGAGAAAGGAACTAAGCAAGAATGTTCCACAACGTAAAAAGAAATATCGGGGAGGGCAGGTTTGCTTCATGCTGAGAATCAACATGGGAGCAAGCAGAGGGTCAAGCAAAGGGACTGCTGGAGGCAGGCGCTGCCCAGAGAGAGACATGAACTAGCTCCAATGCCAGTGACCATCTCAGGTGTTTTATTTTCTACATTGTACTTCCCTCTTGAATTCCCAAATAACATTTTTTGAAATGTTACCCTGAAGTCTTAGCTATGTTTTGGGGAATTGAGGGAGGTGGGCTGAAGGGTAAGAGGTGAAGCTTGTTAGGAAAGAGCATGAGTAAGGGGGAAAGGGGGCATTAAGATTTGCACACATAATGTAGGGGGGGCACAGGGAGGGCAGGACAGCACAGAGAAGACAAGTAGTGACTCTACAGCATCTTACTATGCTGATGGACAGTGACTGCAATGGGCTATGTGGAGGGGACCTGATAATGGGGGGAATCAAGTAACCACAGTGTTACTCATGTAACTGTATATTAATGACACCAAAAAGAAAGATAAGAATGTGATCCAAAAGAAAGAGAAAGAAAGAGCAGAGGCCAGCTGTAGACCCCAGGGCGAGAGGCTAGGGAGGGGACAAGCCAAGCATGGATTTGCAGACATACTATCATTCTCACAGATTATCCCAAACACCTGGGGAAGGAGACCCTCCCAAGGGTGAACAGGCTCAAGTTGTCCTTCAGGACATCCCCCCGAAGAGCATTTTTTGAGCCCCAAGCCTGGGATGTGGTGTGACTTCTCCAGTTTGTGAGGCTCTGCTGGGCCCCATGTTCCCTGGATTTTCTCTCAGCTTCTGCTAAGTGGCTGCCTGCATCTTCTTGTTTCTCTAAAGCTTTTTGCAATTATTTTATTTTTTCCGTAGTCATGTTCTCTCTGTCCCTGCCTGGGGTGGTCAGAGGGGAGATGGCAGAGGCGACGAGTGAATGGCACCTCACACAGGACCTCCTGGAAGCCGGCCGTCAGCCCGTCCCCATCGGCCTCCGCTTGCCCTGCCCTCACACGGGACTCTTTCACCTTGTTTCTTTTTCAGAAAGCAGTAACCGCAGCACCTTCACTGTGGTTCTTTATAGCTTTCCATATGTACAGTCGCTCTTTCTCTCTTCAGTTTTTCCAATGTTTTTTTCCTTTAAATAAATGCTCGTAAATTTTGTTGGTGAAAAGGATGAAAAACACACCAAAAAAGAGGCAGTTTGTTGGAAGGAAAAAAAAACAAGCAGAAAATAGAAAAACCAAAATCCTGTTTAGCATTATATAGGTATATCAGAAACGAAAAAAAAAAAAAGTTTAGGTTTTATCAAAGAGATTATTCTGTAACATCTGCAGTATTCTGTAGTATCTCTAAAACTTGCGTGTCTAAGTACTGAATTTTTATTTGATAAACTTAAATCCCCTTGACTTGCTGAAGGAAGACCCCTCCTAGTTTAAGTCTTTTCTCAGCCGCTGGATTCATGGGGGGCCTTGCATAGTAAGTTGGATGAGCCAGAGAGCAAAGAAGCTGATCTGGAGGCCCCTTCAGGCCCTCTTTCTCCTCAGAAAAGCTGCAGCCGACTCTGCTGGCTGCCTTCCAATGTCCATTCTCCCCTCCCTCCTTACCAACAAAACTCTAATGTTATTTGGGGCAGCAATGTGCCTAATGGGCCAAATGTTCCCAGACTCCCCTGCAGCCAGGCGTGGCTGCCTGACAGTCCCCGCCGGTAAGATGTAGGCCAAAATCCATGGACGGACTCTCATTTTTTGCTCCTTGCCCTTCCTGTTTGGAAATCAGTCATATGATGGAGATAGACTAGGGATCAAAATGGTGGTACAGTAGCAAACAGAACAGGCCAGATGGGTCTGGAACCCCGGTGCATCAAGGAGTCACTGAAATAACGCTGGACTGCCCACCTCAGACAACTCATTATGTGACAAAAATAAAACCCCGATTAGTTAAGTAAGGTGAGTTTCTGTCATATAATGCTAAACCTAGTCCTAATTTGTAGGGTAAGGAGGAGAAACACTCCTTCAACAAATACTGAGTCCCTACTGTGTGCCTGACAGGACCTGAGTGAGGGTGAATAACTCAGATGCGTCCCTACCCTAGTAGAGCTCTCAGACTAGTGGCAGAGACAGACAACAAATAATAAACAAAGAAGTCAATTAATCACCATCGTAATCAAGGAAACAAATAAGCCTTAGAAAGGAGGATAATAGATCTTCTAGCGGGCAGTCCTAGAAGGACCAGTGAGGAAATTACACAAGGGGACAAGTTAAGGCACCGGCCATCTGAAGGAAGAGTGAGAGGAAGGAGCGCTCCAGACAAGAAGAGCAAAGGCCTCCAGCTGGGAAGGAGCTGAAGGAACTGAGAGGAAGCTGTCGAGGTTGGAGCTGATGAGCAGTATACTGGAACAAAGTGCGAGAGGTAGGCCTAGCCGGCCAAGCAGCACATGGTGGGGTTTTACTCTAAGTCACTGAAGGATTTTGAGGAGAAAGTTGCCTTTCAAGAAAGGCTGTTTCAACCCTAAGTTCTGTGAGCCTATTGGCTTCACAGAGATCTTGCCCACGTGGCTGTGAGAACAAGTTCCTGGCACCTAGTCCTGAGGGGCTTGGGGCATGACTGAGGTTCACCTGCAGGCTTACCCCTCAGGAGTGCATGCCTCTTAGCCACCATCCTCTTTGAGCCTGAGCTTCCGCTTCTGAAAATAAAGATGGCAGTAGTTACGCCTCTTAGAGCTGTGAGGAAGCAATGGGTTGAGTCCTATCAGGCCCTTGAAAGCATGCATGGCACATAGTGAGTGCTAGAAAAGAATTTATTTTCACTGTTCCTGGGAAACCCATCAGGGTCCAGATACTCCTGCCTCTAGAGCAACGCTTCTCCAACCTGGTATTAGTATCACGCAGGTCCCACCCCAGAGATTCTGATTTAGTAGGTCTGGGGTGGCCCAAGAATTTGCATTTCCAACAAGCCTCCAGCTGATGCTGATGCCTGTGGTCTGCAGATGCCTAGCTCTGCTTTAGGCTAGGGCCAAGGCAGCCCCTTGGGAATATTTTGAAGAAGCATGACCAGCTTCCCCCTGCTGTAGCCACCTTCAGCTCTCATGGACAATGGCAGAGCCTCGGAACTCCAAGCCCCAGCGACCCCTGGAAGATTCCAAGGTGTTCCTCTGGGAGGCAGGAGAGCGGGGCCAGTGGTTCCCAGCCTTTCAGGGACCTCAGAGCTCTGGTCAGATGGCAAAAATGCAGATTTCTGGGGTCTACCTCAGTCTGTTTCAATCTAGGACTGGAACCCAAATATCTTCATGGACTCCAGCGTGGGAGGTAGGGGTAAGGGTGCCCAGGCCACACTTGGACAAATGGTGATATAGTGGTTTTGGCGTTAGACAAACCCAAGTTCAAATCTCTTTCAACAACTTTGCATTCGTGTGGCCTGGCATGTCCTCTAAAACCTCTCCAAATCATGGTTTTCTTCTCTGAAAGCTGGCCTCATTAATACCAGTAATATCCTCTCTGTGAGGATGAAATAAAAATATTTGTGCAGGGGACATAAAAGTTACAATCACAGACTCTGGTGTGCAAAGGTATAACCTGCTTTATTTATCCATAGCTTATGTTAACTTAACCCCTGGCCTCATGTTTCCACTGATAGCAGAAAGCTTCGGCTTGGAAATTCTAGCTCATTCAGACCACTCCCAGCTGTAAAAGAAAACTTATCTCTTTTGAGAAACTGCAGCCCAAGTCAGGATTATCTCCTCCTCCATTGCTGGCTTATCCCCTGGAGATAATGGGGTTCCTCAGGGGTCCTTCACCCTGACTCCCTGAGTCCCACACAGCACAGCCAGTCCCGGGCACGGGCATCCCTGGGTGATGCCCACTGTGCCATCATGGTCTCTGGCCGCATGGTCCCTGCGCTCAGCCTTCTTGCCCCCTACCCCAGGCCTCCTCACCTGCCAACCTTCTCATTTCTTTGCTCGGGCTCTTCACAGCTGCTTCCCTGCTGCGTACCCAGCCATATGCCTGTCTCTAGTCACCTGTCCGGACCGGTCATTGTTAATCTGCTGCTTGGCCACCATATTGGACATGGGCCTTACCTACGGGTTTGATCACCACTGATCCCCGCCATCCGTTAACTGGTCCAACCTCTGTCTTCTTTTACAGGTTGGGTGGGAAGGACTTGTTCTAATTTCCTCCCGCATTCCTGCCATCTGTGATAGTAATACCCTGAGCTCTGTGTCCCGCAGGGGACTCACAGTACCCACCATCCTTTCCTTTTGCAACAACAAAAGTCTGGCTCTTGCAAATCAAAGTCTTGCTTTCTCTCTTAGACTACCATGAACCCATTCAGCTCTCCAGTTGACCCCTTGCTTCTTGGGGGTACCTGCCCAGCCCTGAGGACAGGGCAAATAGCCCCAGGATCTCTGCGCCCAGTGGCAGGGAAGGAAGCCTGAGAATGGCAGAGGTACTTCATTTGTATCTCAAAACATTACTCCTTTCTCTCCCCTAGATAAAGTGTTCACAGAGTGAATGGCCTAGGCTGGACCAACTGCTCAGTGCCTGACAATCATGACGACCTGCGGTGACGGGGAGGAAAGTGGCTATGGTTGCCCTGGACGTGCGGTGCTTGGCGGTGCTGGCTCTGAGCGGCTGTGACTCCATGTTCCCGAGACCAGAGGAGCCAGGCAAGCTGGGGGCCCAGGGGAAGCAGGTCACACTCCAGTGACCAGCTAATCTTCATTTACAGAGTGAGTGGGATCTTCTGAGGTGGGGAGGGCGGCACTCTAAAATGTGCCCCTGCTCCCCACCCAGCACGGGAAATAAGCGGGAAGAAAAGGCTGCCTGTCTGGACCCACCTCTCCCTGAAGGTGCCAGAAATGCCACCACTGGAGGCCTATCTTTTAGATCGAATATTGTCCCCTCCACAGTCATCTTAAAATGAAAATACCAGAGGGACAATGTGTATATTAGCAGCTCCTAGCAGTGAGTTATCTGTTCTGAGCCCTGAGAACACGGCCAGAGGGAAAAGGTAAGGCCCGCAAGCCCCTCACCCTCCTGAATTCCCCAGAGGAGCGGACAGGCGTTCTAAGCTGCCCCGGCCCCTGCTCACAGCGGAGCCCAGAGGGGTGGCGACCAGGGCCAGAGGCCACCAAGCCTGTTAAAAATTGTTTTATTTCCTAAGGGGTCACCTAAGGGCAGGCGTGTGAGGACGGGGTGCCTGACTTGGGTTTCGGGAGGAGCCCCAGGCCTTGTCTCCTGCTCTGTGCCCGGTAACACTGCTAGCAGGGGTGAGTCACAGTGTACTCCATTATGGTCCGAAGGGCCAGCCACATCTCCTGGGCTGTGGCGATGATCTGGGAGGCTGGCAGCAGGAAGCCATAGCGCCCGGTGTCCCAGAGTTTGAAGGTGAAGACGTACTTGATGCCACTCTCACAGGCCCAGTCCACCGCGATCCCACTGGCCACATCTGGATACAAAAGGACAAAGAAATGCCCCAGAAGGAAGAAGGTGTGGCCACAGGTATGCAGAAGCATCCTGAGTGGGAAGCAGACCATGGGGGCCAAATTCCCACCCCCACAGACCACACCAAGCTCCCTGGCCCTGGCCTCAGCCTGGACCACACCCTGCCCACCTAGCCCACTCTCTGCCCTGGCAAAAAGAAAGTTCCTTGAGGCCACCAGATTTAGGGTCTTTCCCCTCAAGGAATTAGGAGCTGTGCATTAATGTGCAAAGAAACAGCTGCCTGTTTCGGGGAACCTCCATTGACCCATCTATGCCGATGTGGAAGCCAGCTCTGGCCCAGCTCGGTAAGATCTACAGCATTTCCCTGGGGCCAACCAGGCCTGCCAGTCAGTGAAGAGCCTGCACCTGCCCAGCCCCAGGCGGCTGTGGGGCCTGAAGCAGCAGCTGGACACAGGCTCACTCACAGAGGGTGGGCCTGATGCTGCCGTACAGATACTCGGTCCCGTGGACCTTCTGCAGGGCCTGCACTGCGTCCTCGGCAAGCTTGTACTGCAAGATTACATCCAGAGGGTGAGAGGCCGGGACTTCCAACCCTGAAACCTCACCAGCTGCTGAGAATCAGGGACTTAGGAGTCCTGTAAGTTAACGGGTAGGTGGCTCTCATGAGAAGGGAGTAGAGCACCTCGGCTTTGAACTTGATCACACAGGAGAGTAAGTTCCCTCCTCCACCCTACCATGGGGTCAACTGGTCTAGCCCCTCTTTGCAGAGTGAGGGTCTGAACCCCCTGGGAGTCTGCGGATGCCTCCCACAAGCCCTTCGTAGCCAATCTCACCAACTCCTCCTGGTTTGGAACAGGTGCCAGCAAATGGCCATAAGGTACATGAGCATCTGAGAGTAGCTATGAATGGCGATCAGAGCCTGGATGTTCCCACAGGATGTGATGAAGTCCACAATGGCAGCCACCTCTGGCTCCAACTGAGGGGAGGGCCCGTGATAAGTCTCTGAGCAGGGGTTGCTGTTAGAACCATTTCCTGAAAATAAAGCAAAACCATCCAAAGGGTTCAAATTCCCAGGTTTGAGAAGACACTTAGTACTCACAAAATATCCATGGATTCCTCTACATTTCCCAGTCTCCGTTGCAAGACTGGTTGAGGCCCTGTGACTACTTCTGACCAATAAGAATGTGAGCAGCAGTGACGTGTCACTTCTAGTTCAAGGCTGTTAAGAGCAAGCATGACTTCTCTACACTCTCTTCTGTCCATGTGGTTGGAAACAAAAAACTCTAGATGGAGCACGCATCCTGGATTCCTGTGTCACCGTTGGAAGAGAGCAGCTAAGCAGAGTCAGAGACTCACGTTGGACTTGTGCTCAAGAAAAAGAAACGCTGACTATGTTAAGCCACAGAGATTTGGAGAGGTATTTGTTACGCTCACCCTGGTCTTGCTATAACAGAGGAGCGTAGCCACAGCAGGACTCAGCAAGTCTGTGGGGAGCGGCCTTGGCTTGTCTGTTGGCTGAGTTCTGACTGTGGTTCCATTAGAAAGGCAGGCCTGTCTCAGCAGTTGCTTCCAGAACAAACTGTAGGTCTCCAACCCCAACTTCCCCAATGAGTAGTGACCCCCTTGGGCAGACCCTTTTCTGCTGACCTTCCATTGCCAGAGAGAAGGCTTGGGTCAGCTGGGTGCTTGGACGGTGTCTGCTCAAGCTTAGCCACAGGGGCAACATGGACTGGGGCAGGAGAAAAAGACAGAGCCCCAGAGTTGCCTGAGGCTGGTCTTTGACATTTTTTCCTAGGGGCCTGAGGTCGGGGAGAGGGCAAAGTATTTTGTTCACAAATTTCATTCCTTATCTCCTCCTAGATGCTTTGCTCCCCATCTCTTCCCCCTGTTCCCCTACCTCAAGGGCCAATTGTGGAGGGCTGGGCTGGGCAAGATCTGTGGGTGAGGGACACATTTGGAAAGAGCTGTCCGAGGTCCTCCTCCCTGAAATGACTGCACACAGACCTGGTCCAGAGACCAGGGATCTCCCCAACTTCTGAAGCTTCCTAAGGATGCCAGAGCACCCTGCCTCTCGGACCCCAGGGTGTGGGATGGCTTGACAGCTGGGGTACATGGACCAGTTCCCTAGGACTGCAGAGGAGGGTGGCACAGGCCCACAGATTACTCATTACACAGCAGTTAAATTAAGGCAATAATGAAACCATAAACAAAATCTTTTCCTGAGTCACTAACCCAGACACAGGCTATTTCTAGCCACAGGCAGACCCAAAGGAAATTCTGTCACCTGGGGAACTCGGTGCCCTCTTGGTCTGCGGGTTCTTGCCTGGGCTGGGGACCCTGATTAGATGGGGATGTGCCTTCAGGGAGCAAGGGGGTGAGAAGCAGCCCTGCGCTGCGCTGCAGTCGCGCTAACAGCAGCCCTGTTTGTGGTGTCTGCCCTGAGCTTCTGCACCTGCTACACTTGATGAATGACAAATGGCAACAGATGAGCAGGGCGGGGGAGGCTTGAAAGCTTTGTCTGCGTTTGCAGCCCACGCATGGAAAGCGGTTCCCCTGCCAACGACCAGGTGGCTTTGCCCAAATATGGAGAAACACTTCAGGCCATTAGTTCTGGTTTGAGCTAAGCAGCATAAACTAATCTTTGCCTGACCAAATGGGAATTAGCTGCCTGCTTCTGACGTTCAGAGTCCTCTGAGCCTGCCTGTTTCACAAGTACCTGCTAATGGATTCATTAGCTATTTATTTTTCCTTCTCTAAAAATGTCATTTGTAGCACGGGGAAATCTCTGGAAGGACATGGTAAATTATTAAAAGCAGTAATCTTCAAGTAGTGGAATTATGGGAGGTCTTTCCCCCACTGGGCATTTTTTTTTTTTTTACATTATGATGTATACTGATTTTATTTCCCCCTGTGGTGAAATCCACAAGTTATTTTCTTTAAGAGGTAATTAGCCTTTCTGCTAGCAGGTCCATCTTGGGGTCTTTGGGTACTCACTTGAGCCAGCTCTGAGTGCCCTACAGGGATGTCCACTTGGGGCAAGTGTCTGGTGACTTGGGGGTAGACATGCCTAATTTTATACAGTTGTGTTCCTTTACACAAATGGTTACGCACACAGCCTCAGACTCTTAGGCAACCCCCCACCTCACTCTGGATGCTTCAGAGCTGTCCTTATTTTTCAATGAAAACACACTCAAGCCAGGTTTTCAAAGCAATGGGCATCCAGATCTAGAATGTTCTGTATCTCATTGATTTGGCCACCCATCTGTGGATTTGTTTTTCAACAGCATGGTACCACCTCCTACAGAGCCAACCCCAATGCCCCATGTAGTATGGGCCGAGGGCTGTGCCCATGCATGACTTCCCCGTCTGGAGACCCATCACTCCCTCCATCAAAGTGCTGCATTCCCAGGTCCACATACTTGTCTCGTTTTCTGGAGGCTTCAGTTTCCTCATACAGTTCCTATGGCCCTGGCATGGTAAGGGAGACATCAGGAAGCACACCAAGGAAGCTGCCCACCCTCCCTGGAACCACACGGCCCTGCATATATGTACCAGCCCATCAGCCCAGAGTTACTAAGTAATTGATTGGGTCAGAATTAAAAACCAGATTCATATCAGTGTTGATGATAAGGAATTGGCTTATTCTCTATTTGAACTATTGTTCTGGCCTCCCCAGTGAGCAGATTTCAAGGCACGGCGCTCAGGAAATGAGTTTGGAAGCATTTTTTTGTGTGGCATGCTCCCTTCAAGGAAGGGCTAGAGACATCTTGGGGTCATCATAAACTCTGGGTTTTGAACAACCAGCAGGACTACTTTGTGCCATATTTAGGATTTGACCCTTGCAGTCAGTCCCCATGCAAGGGACTGTTCCCCATGAAGTTTAGCATGTACATACGTTTACACACAGGTGCAACCTCTTCCTGAATCCCACGGCTGATCCTAGGCACATGTTTGCCTGTCCCTGGCCATGACTCACTGGCCTTAGCTAACTATGTTGCCTCCAAAGTTATGAATCAATAGAATCTGACCATGTGGCAGATGTGCCAAGAAAGAGGTCCTTCTCCAGCCCTGCACCCAGGTCCAGCAGGTTGCTTTACCTCCGAAGCCTGACTTCCAGCTCCTGTTCAGATCCGCACGCATGCAGAAGATTCCAGGTCTGGTAGTCTTGTTCTTCCGCCACAGGCGATTCTGAGAAAGCCCAGGAAGCTGACCTCATTCACTGGGCCCATTGCCAGGGGTGGGAGCCTCTGATATCCTGGTCTAGGAAGGGGAGTTCGTTGGGACAGGGAGAGGCCAAGGGAAGGAGGCCCTGAGGCTGGCACGGGGCAGAGCAGGCACTTTGCGGTTAAAGCTCAGGTGTTGGCAGAGGCCCATGCAGAGGCTGCCAACAGTGGCCTTCTCTGGGCAGCAGGAGGCAGGTCACAGGGCACAAGCTGCAACTGTAGCACCTGAGCAGCCGCCTGCCCCAGGGAGACTCTGCAAGGAGCCCTGAGGGGCTGGCCCCCAGGGAACCTCAGCCCAGCCTCCTGAAGCTGCAGGGACTTTTCCTCCAACCCCCAGAGTTGATCCCCGAGCCCTAACTCCCTCCCAGGTGCCCTCACCATGCTGTGGGTAAAAGCAAACCCATCAGGGTTGGTGACAACCTCCATGAAGATGTCCATGGCATTCAGGATGTTTGTCAGGATGGGGTCTTTGCCATATTCACTGACAATCTGCAACAAAGGGCAGCGTGGGTTCAGAGTGAAGGATGGGGGCCCTGCTGGGCTCTCCTCTGAGGTGGAGCAGAGCAGGACCTTTGCACAGCCAGTGGCTGCAGGCAGGGGTGGCATAAGGCCATCAGGTACATCCTGCACGCACAACCAAAGGCTTGGATTTTAAGCAGCTGGAAGACAAAGGGTAGGTGTGGGCTCTGTGCTGCAAAAGGCTGCAGCACACGGCAGCTCTCCTAAAGGGCAGGAGGGGAGAAGGCACCCTGAGTTTAAATGAACCAAATATCATTTCTACACTGGTGGTGCCCTTAAATAGTCTAGCAGCCCCCTCCTCTGCCCCGGCCCCCATCACCCCTGCTGACCTTCTTGGCAGTCCAGATGCCAGTGGCATGAGTGATCCACTCCCAGGAGTGAATTCCACTGTCGATCCAGATGGCAGGGTGCTGGGAACCTCCAGTGCTGAACTGGGAGAAAGCATCAGACCCCAAACAATTCTAAACCGAGACAACTACAGGGCTCTACCTAGGCTGCCCGGAAGGAGGCCCCAGATGTGCCTCCCTGCCTCCAGCGTAGCCGGGCTATGTGCAGGTACCTGTGCATAAGCCCATGAGTACACGTAGGGGCCCTAGAGACACAGTGCTGTTCTTGGAGAGCAAAGTGATCTAGCCAGAAGCACAGAATTTCCCAGGTTTAGAAGAATCTTAGACTAGTGCTTCTTGAACTTTAAAGGGTCCGTGAATCCCCCGGGATCTTACTAACATGCAGGTCTGGGGAGGGGTCTAAGGTTGGGCATCTCTAACAAGCTCCCCGGGGCTGCTGCTAATGCGGGTGCGAGGACCCCACTTTGAGCAGCAGGGTCTCAGACATTAAAGCGAAAACACAGACAGCCCTGAGGAGAAGCAAAGCATGGAAAGGCCAAGTCAAGTCCCAAGTCGGGTGCAACCTCTTGGCCCTTCAGAAAAGTCCCAGCAGGATGCTGGGAGAGGCGGCCCTTTCTGCTCTGAGAGCAAGACGTCAAATGCCTGCCCCCTCCCTTGGTCCCCGCCCCTGAGCACCCTTAGGGCACACACCACACCCTTATCCATCCTGCCTCCTTCATGGCCAAGGGCCCTGCTGCTTCCATGTGTGCTCAAACTCTGTTTCCAGGGGCCCCTGCAAAGGGCTGGGAGGTCTCCCCATGGACTCAGGCCAATCTGTGGGGCTGTCTGAGCCAGACGTCCTCAGTTTTCAAAAATGAGGCCTCTGTACATGCTGTAAATGAGGCCTTCCTTCCCACCTAACCAATGGAGCAACTGAAGAAACAGGAAGAACGCTGACTCACCCCCACTCACACCCCAAGTCCAGGGTGACGACTGCCACTCTGCAGTCCCATCTCCCTAACAACCCTCCACCTCCTTCCTGTGCTAGGATGTGCCAGGTCACTGCACTGTCACCTGTCCACAGGGGCGGGTCCCTGAATAGCACAGTCCCAAAGTTTGTGGGTCACCTCAGAACAGGAGTCTACCCTTCTTTCTCCATAAAACCTCCAACGGGCAGTAGCCCCACAGGAGTGCGGTCTTATGCCAGCAGCTCTCACTGCAGACAGTGGTCAACACTGCTTAGCTTTACCTTCAGAACCAGAATAGTCCGATTTTCAAAGCTGTGGCCAATCTGAATTTTTGAGACATCTGAATGCTCAGTTAACAAAGCTGTCCATCCAGCTATATATCTGAAATGAAGGAGGTTATCAGAAGGGCAGCTAAGTAGGGGGAGGATCTCTCCAAATACTCTCCTTCCATCCCAACCCTCCTTAAAGCCTTCCCACCTCCCTTGAGGATCAAAAAGAACTCAGATCAAGAACTGCAAAAACTGGAAGCTGCCCTCCAGGCCCAAGGCCACAAGCTGTGGTGGGCCTGGATTCCCAGGCTTCTCTCCAGTGCAGAGCTGAACCTTCTGCCCAGAAGATCAGCATGTGCCCAGCCTTCTCAGTCCCCCAGGTCAGCCCGCGAAGCTCTCTCTGGTTGGAAGTTTATCTTGCTTCCATCCTCCTAGCAAATCTCATAGACATCGCAGCGTTGCTTTGGGATTCTTTCCCTTTTAGATCCTAAGCCTCCTTGAAGGCAGGGTTATTTATCTCTGACATCAATAAAGACTGACAGAGTATATTAATGTGTTCTCTTATTCATTCAATACATATAATTGAATCAACAAACATGAAAGAAAATGGATCCTCTATTACAGGTCCTGTGAAATGGCAAGAGTGATTGATGATGATAATAACAGGGGGTGGACAATTCAATAATGTTACGTCCTTTACGTGGAAATGGGACCTGCACCTTGAGTCTCTCTGAACTGGGTGTCCACATCCCCTGTGTTATTCTCCTTTATAAGCGAGGCACAGCCAGTGGCGCCGGCCCTCGCTGGCTCTAACTGTGATCATGGGTGTTCTCCAACTGAAGGCAACTCTGTTTTATTCTACAAAATGGCTCTCCACTGTGCCTGGCTTCCTGCCCCTCCTACGCTCTAGTGCTCATAGCTAGGGCCTCCTAACACTAGTGATGGTCGTGGAGAGGTCATGGCCTCTGGAGCCTAGCCAGGGTGTTGGGTACAAAGTAAAGGTGCCTCTGTCTGCTCTGTCCTGGCCAGCAATGGGTCCCTGTCCTAGTGTTCCACGGAGCAGCTCCATTTCTCTGGTCCCATGGCTGCCATGCACTGCACTATTGAGCCTCAGTCCCCTCTGGCTGAATCCTGGCTCCTGGACTTCTTTGAGATTGACTGTCTCCCTAACAGACTTCACCCAGTGACTGTTCTACAGTCCCCAAGTGTCAGTTCACAGCTCCTCACAGGCCCCAGAATCCATCAGCGGTCTCAGCCTGAGCCTGGAGACACGGAGGGCCCAAGGGGCCACAGAGCCCAGGGCAGCGCGGCAGGCCTACCTCCTCCAGGGTGTGGTAAGAGGAGTAACTGAAGCCAGTGGTGCTGCGCTGCAGCTGGCAGGATTGCCCCTGGCTTCTGTGTCTTCATCCAGCAGCACCTGGGAGACAGGAGGCGCGCTGGGAGGGACGGGAGGGCTGGGTCAGGCATCCCTCTCTGAGCCCTGCCTTGGCTGGTTGTGCACAAAGACAGGATCGACACAGAAGAATGAGCCACCATGAGTGTGAGCTGTGTGACAGGAAGAGGTGCTGGGTTGCTGGGCGATTCTTCTGCTTGGCGAGAACGCTGCCATTTTCCAAAGCAGCACAGGGCAGCAGCCAGGAGAGCTGCATCCTAAGTCCAGCCCTGCCACTAATCTGCTGCACAAGCTTGGCCTTTGTTTTCTCAGCTTCAGAATTGCGACGGCGACACCTGCCCTATTCCTCTCATAGAATAAAATGTAAAGCCAGAGACAGAAGTGTCCTGGAAAAGATGCTCATGATCTGGTGCCAACACTGCTTCGCCCTCTGTGAACACTCTGTTGAGTCAAGGCCCAGGCTGAACCATGTACACTGACCCCTTGGGGAGCAGAGGGCTCCTCCGACCCACAACATCCACTCTACCCCAGGAAGTAGCCTAAACAATTGGTGTCCAAGCCCTTTGGAAAGCCAGGTGTGGACAAGCCAGTCCAAACCACCCTTATGATTAATGGACCAATAGGTTTTCACTCAACATCTTAACTGCAGTTTAAACACAAACATATAGGTGACCCAAAGGAATGTCCTTAGGTGTCAGCTTGGAGTGGCACGCAGTCCTCATGGGGCTTCCCACTGACCACAGAGAGGGCAGTGCCTGGGCTGGGTGGGCCTCCTGGGAGTGAAGGAGCCCCAGAACCCAGTGCCGACGGTGTCACATGGGAAGAACCTGCGCTGCGTCACCGCAGAAGGTGCTGGGGAGGCAGAGGGCCTCAGCCGCAGTCACCTGGTTTGCAGCTCTGGGGCACAAGTCAGTCTTGAAGATGTGTCGCTTCAGGCCAGAGCCTTTCCTTTATGAGGCAACATCCTCCCCCATCACCGCCTGACAGGGCAGGAATGAACTGTTTATGTTTTAAAGATGAAGCAGATTAGAGAGGTGACCGGACTTAATGGCAAAGCGAACAAGGAGCAGGGTTGAGATAAAAACCCAGATATCCTAGTTCCTAGCCTTGGGTTCTTTAAGGCTAGCTAGCTGACAAGAGTAAAGGCTGGCCAGAATAACAAACGTATGTGTGTGTGTGTGTGTATCTGTGTGTGTGTGTACAGAGAGCAAGCAAATGTGTAAAATGCTAACAAGTGAAAGTCCATCATACTATTCTTGCAATTAAAAAGTGTTCTAAAATAGTGAAAAAGCAATATCTGGCACATAGGAAACAGGACACTAAAATGTCAAAAATACACCAAAATGCTAACCAATATGTTAGGATAAAGATATGACGAGTTTAAGCAATTTTTTTCATTTCTCTATTTTTACATTCTGGCAACGTGCTTTTTACTTTAATAAGTAATATCTTCTCAATGAATAGATAATACTAAAACTAAAAGCACTAATGACTAAAGCAAAGTAGCAGCCATGGACTCTTCAGAGCCACCCCCAACCCCCTGGCCACTGCCCAGGGACACACTCACCCTGACGCCCCAGTCAGCCTGCACACAACCCTCAAGTTCACAGATTTAAAAATGGGGCCAGAAATCAAAGTCTGGGCTGCACTTTATGTCGTTTTGAGCACCCACTACACGCTAGGCAATTCTAACTGCAGTGTCTTCCAGCTGAACTGGCCGGGCTGAGGACATTCCCATTTGTGCAAAGCTGCGATTGCTGGTTGGGTTAGAGCTGGCCAGAGAAACCCTGGCCCTTGCTGGCAAACACCACCCTGGGAAGCTCAAACAAAAGGAATTCGTCTTTTTCCCAGGAAACCAATGGAAATCTCAGCAGCCCCCCATGACTGATGCGTGCCCGTCACTCTGGGCCGGCGCTACCAGCTGTGGCGAGCAGCTGCAGGGAAGAGAGCAAGCTGGTCTAGCCCCTGCTCTGACCCCACCCTAACGAAGTCGGAGGGTCCACTTGTCTAACTTTCTAGGGGCTGGTGGAGGACTGAGACAGTGAAGGGGGAGAACAGAGGCAGAAAGGGCCAGTGGACCCAGCTCATCCCCACAGCCCGGGGACCCCCACAGGAAGACGGCTCCCAGGAGGCTGTCCTTTGTTCCACAGAACAGCTTGGAGGCAAACGCGAAGTCAGCACCAAAATGCAAATAACTTTAACACTGTCACAGCCTTGTGAATGGATATGACATCCGCTGACAAATTGGGAATGCTCAGCCCTCACAGCTGGGCCCCAGTTCCAGGAACATTAATCTACCCTGGCCTGAAAAATACACAGATGTTTGCTGCCTTCCCAGGGCTGAGGGAGGGGATGGGAGAGCTAAGAATGCAGTCTTGCCACAGGCTCAGGGAAGCCTAATTACAGTCCTGTCAGGCTTCTCAGAGAGAAACACACACACACACATATAACTCAGAAGTAAGCCATTTGCCTCCCTGGAAGATAAAACCTGACAGGGAAAGGAATACCTTGGTGTGAATTAATTTATGACAAGGGTAAGGAAGGATGGGGACTTGAAGCAAAGAACAGAACCTCCAGGATGGGGGAGGGGAGGGGACCGAGCCCCCGGGAGGAGGCCAGGAGAGGAGCTCTGACTCCCGTCTGTGACGACAGCAGTCGCCTCTCCTCACACATCCTTGGCCTTTTCTTCCGGCTGCATGGCTAGTAGCACTCACAGTCCTTGCCAGTACAGGGGGCGCCTACAGATCTGGGGTTCTTAGAATGGACTCTGTCAGAGGTCAAGGCTGAATGGTAGCCTCACTGCTTCACTGCCCAAAAGGCAGTTCACCACCACACAAACAGCAGTGGCTGAGGCGGCAGGTGGCGGAGTGCAGGGCCTGGAGCCAGGCTGCCTCAGATTAAATCCTGGCGCTGTCGCTAACTTGGGCAAATTACCAATTTCTCTGTGCCTCAGTTTACTAAATTACTAAATTCTCTGTGATTTCATTAAATGGTGGCCGTGTTATCACATACCTTAGCACATAAAGTGTTCTCATGAGGATTAGAAGGGTTAATACATGCAAAAATCTTAGAACATTGCCCAGCATGCAGTAAGGGTTAGTCACAATGTGAGGATGACGATGACAATGACAGGCAGGTCATAGCAACTTGGGCCAAACCCAGGTCTCTGAGGGAACAGTCACTGCAGGGCCTGGCCGGGAAATCGGGATTCCTCTGGAGGGGAGTGGCATCTGTGGGACATGGGCGGCGGGTTGCCCCGATTCACGCTCCCGCGGCTGAGTCAGCACCTGCCCCTCCCAGGATGGACAGCAGGGCCAGTCCCTGTCCCTGCCCCCTGGGAGCAGCCAGAGCCGGTCTCTCTGCAGGGCCCCGCCCACGGTGGCCCTGCCTTCCCTAGCCCTCCCCTACACTCATCCCCACCTGTACTCCTCTCCTCTTCAGAGCTGCCACCACCCCAGCACAAGCCAACACATTTCCACTTCCTAGTCTCTTCTATTCAGCAAAGGAGTGTTTGTTGAGCACACACTGGACACTAAAGATGTGGCAGCCAACAAAATAAAACTGCCTGCCTTCGTGGAACTCACAGTCTGGTAGGGGAAACGGATCATAAACAAGATAAGTGAGTAAGTTATGTAAGATTAGAAGGTTGTGAGTGCCAAGGGGAAAGGTGACGCAGCAGAAGGAGCAAGGGATCGAAGAGTGTGGGGGCAGAAGGGTGCAGCACAAAATAAGGTGGGGAGGTGACACGTGACTACGGTCTGGAGAGCAGTGAGGGGCCCCCCACCCTGCAGCCGGCTCTCTGCAGCCACAGCATTGCAGCTCTAAAGACGCAAGGGCAAAGAACTGAGGTGTGAATCTAGTCAAGGGCCCTGAGGCAGGAATGGGTCAGGCAGGTTCCAGGGATGTCAAAGAGGTCTAGGCGTCTGGAACAGAGTGAGCCAGGGCAGGGCAGTCAGGGATGCGGGGCAGGGCACAGAGCAGGGCACCACCTCATAGCCATTTTAAGGACTTCGGCTTTTACTTTGAGTGGGAAGTCACTGAGGGTTTCAGGCAGAGGAGGGACCTAATTGAACTTGCTTTTTTTTAAAAGACCCCTCTGGCTACTGTTTTGAGATGAGGCAGTAAGGAGGCAAGGGCGGAATTAAGGAGAGCAGTTATTACTGGGAAAACCCGGGGGGTGCGAGGGGGCCAGGGCCATGTTGGCCCAAGGAGGTAGCACAGGATGCATCCTAAGGGAGGGCTGATGGGCTTTGCTGACGGACTGGGGGTGGCATGTGAGACAGGAGTCAAGGCTGACTCTAGGTTTCTTGTCTGAGTGACCAGAAGGATGGTCGTTGCCATTTCCGGAGATGGGGAAGGCCATGGAGGGACAGGTTTGGGGCCTGCGGCACTCTGTTTGGACTTGGGAAGTTGGAAGTGTCCATCAAACCCCCTGGGGGAAGTGCTGAGTAGGTGGTCAGACCTAGGAGTCTGGAGTTCAGCTCAGGTAAATGAGCCTGGCTGGAGCTATGACTTGGGAGTCTTCGGGAGATTGAAGGTCTTCCGTGTTGTGATCCTGGATGAGGGGACTGAGGAGAGGTCAGAAGACAGAGCAGGGAACCAGGAAAACAACACGCAAAGGCGCAGTCAGTGCGATGGGATGACCAGGAGAGTGCGGTGTCCCAGAAGCCAAGAGAGACGTGTCTGCAGGAGGAGAGGGCAGCCAGCTGTGCTGAAAGATGAAGGCCAGTGCGCACTCAGAGCTGCACCCTGAGTTTGGCCTGGGACCTGTGTGCTCCACTGTCAAGGGCAGTTTCCGTGGAGTGAGGGAAGGTCAGTCGGCCTCACTGAGGGATGGAGATGGCATGTGTAGTCAATATTTTCAGAAGTTTTACCCTTTTGGGAAGCAGAGAAATGGGGTGATGGCTGGAGGTGAAGTGAAGGGATCCAGAGGGGATATTTTTAAGATGAGAGGAATAACCGATATTTGTATGCTAATGGGAATGATCCAGTAGAGAGGGGAAAATTAGCAAAGCAATATTTATGCTAAATTGTATTTTGGTCTAGATGCTCAGAGCATGGGTGATTTTTGTTTTCTCCTTTGTGCTTTCCCCTACTTTCCAAATTATCTAACATGAATATTTATTAATTCTGTACTCAGAAAAAAAGCCATTAAAATCCACAGAGATGATTGCTCAAGTGAAGCTTTTCCATGGTGACTCATCCTAGGGAGAAAAAAAAAAACCACCAAAGGGCTGAAAAGGAGGAGGAGGTGAAGAAAAATTAAATGCAAATAGAGCTCTCCTGGAATCAGATAATTTCTTGCCCGGCCCACTGCAGTTTCCTCACCACCCTCCTGCCTGCCAGGCTCTCCTGCTCCTGTCCCCAGCTCAGCATTGTCACTGTCAGAGGGACTTCCCTTAAGTGCAAATCTGATCATGTCAGAGCCCTCCGACGGCTCCCCCATGGTTTTCGGGATGAAATGTAGACCTCTTCACCGGGTGGAGAATGGGTGGAGAATGGGCTTTGCGATCTGGTCCAGCATCGGGGTTGCCTCCTCTGGCTGCCCCTCCCCCGCAGCTCTCCAGCCCCTCCTTAAACACGCCTTCCCAGAGCCTCACTCACAGGGCCTCTTACCCGCTCCCATGGCAGTGTGCTCCCCTCCACTCATCCCCTCCACTGTAACCACTGATTTACGCCATGCCCCCCACAGTCCAGCTCCCCTGGATACAGGGACATAATTCTTATATTTCTGTTTCCAGCATCTTGCCCAATACCCCGCACATAGTAGGTGCCTCTGCTCTGTGGGTGGAATGAATGAAACACTTTTCCTATGTTGAGCATCCCACTGATCACAGGTCAGGGTGGTGGGCACTTCCCTTCCTCAGAACTCTGGAGCACCCCAGGCCACCGTGAAAGCCAGTGGCCAGGTTCTGTGCACTTCCCTCAGCCTAGTGCCATCAAGCAAACACCCTCCCCTCTTTCCTTTCCTACTCACATCCACTAATTCAGCTCCCATTTATTAGTCCCCAACTAAGTGGCAGGTCCTACAGTAGGCACTGGGTATAAGGGTAGATAAGGGGCAAGATCCTGGCCCTTGAGGGGCATAGGGGTGGGATTCTGGGGACAAAGGCCAACATATTAGTAAGGTGCCCTTCCTGAACCTGCCGACAGAGTAATTCATTCAGCAGACAGTGGCTGAGGCCCCGCATGAGGGAGGCATGGTGCCAAATCCTGGGGCAGAGAAGATCCAGAAGGCAGGGAGGTCAGGCCTGTGTATCAATGACCAAAGCTAAAGCCTGGAGGCCAACAAACGGAGGGGTGCAAGCCCTCCCCTCCTGCTGGTGTCCCTGAGGTTTCCTCCTCCTGGACACCTTCCCCCATCACCACCACCAATCAACTCAACACAGCAGCCTCCCCACAACTCCCAGCTCCCACTAAGCCAAAGTGTGATCTCAAGTGTGACAGTCAGAGCTCGATGCATTACAGGCAGACTTGGTGAAAACCCTGCCTGGCTGGTGAGGGCTGACAGTCCAGAGCACTGGACTGAGAGGAGTGACAAGCCCCCTCTGCACACACCCCATGGGGGACCCCAGGGCCAGGGACAGCGGAGAGGCCAGGCTGGGGAGAACGAGGACCACCAGCTCCGGAGGAGCCAGCAGGGAGGCTTGGCAGGGTCTCAGAGGCCAGTCTGATGTGCTGAGAGCAACAGAAAATTTTTAGAGACCTCTTCATTTATTTTTGCCAAATGCTACAGGTTTCCAGAAGGGGCAGAAGCAGGGAAATGCAAACTTCAAAATGCAGGCATGAGCTAAAAATGAGAATTGAGTGTGAGTTCTTCTGATGTGGTAGCCACTCCTGTCTGGGGGAGTCTCCCCACTTTTATCGGCGGGGGATTTAATTAGAGAAATAGGCCACCCCTCCACCTCCCACCTCCACCGTGTTGAGTGGGAAACGGATGTGCCTGATGAGGGATAAAGGTCTTTGAATGGACCTCAGTGCCCCAGCCCTGCGCCCATGGGAAAGGAATGGGGCCGAATGCGCTGGTCCCTGGCCCCGGAGCGGAGTGCGTGTGCTCCCAGAAACTTCCCACACTCAGTCCTGGGAGGAGATGAGCTGCAGCACAACATGACTGGGAATGGGTCTATGTGGACACAATTCTATAGGAAGCCAACAGCATCTGCAGAGGGGAGCAGCGGAGGCCTGGCCAATGCATGGCACCTAAAAGAATCGCTTTAGGAAGGAGGCTTCTTGGGATAACCCCGAAGACCGAACAACTGACAGAAAATTTCATGATGTTCAGAAAAGATGCAGTGACAGGCGGGGGTTGGGAGCCTGGGTGCCCCACCCAAGGCCTGCTCCCCTGGGAGAATTCTGCCTGGGAGAGGCACCCAGGACAGGCGCCTGCGGTGCGGGTGGAGGGGAGCCACAGCAGAGCTCTCCGCCTGCCTTCGTGGGCCTCCTCCTGCCTCTCTGGAGTGAAGCAGTTCCCTGGTACGGAGGGCAGGGACACAACAGGGACACAACAGGGACAGGAGGGAGTGGTCAGAGAGGCAAAGGGAGCCGTCCAGAGCTGCCTCCCACAGTGCCTAGAAAAGACCTGAGCTCTTTCCCCCTGTCTCCCTTCTCCCCAGTCTCCTCCTTTCCTGTGAGCTGCAGATTTTCTCTGAGAGGTGTGAGGTTTCATTGCTTCCAAGACAGATTCACAAAAATGCAAAAACAGGATATCCACTTCTAGCCCTGCATGTCTTTCCTTCATTGCTGAGCCCAAAGCAGAAAAGTGTGAGGAGGACAAGACCCCAGGTGCATGGCTGGGGCGGGACCTCACCTGGATGTCCTTTATCATGATGCTGTAAAGGAGGCCATGGGACTCCAGGTAAGCTTTGACATCTTTCAGTTCAGAGAAGGCACTCTCACATCCACAGGGAGGCTGGGCCTGGCTGGGCCACGCCAGAAGTCCACCTTGTTCACAGAGGAAAGGAAAATGGGCACGTTTCTCACATGCATCTTAGAGTCAGATCATCTCCTTCTCTTACGTGGTTTAAAGGCCACACTTCCAAAATGAAAATCCTAAGGCCAAGCAGAAAGACCAGGACAAACAAAGTCCCCAAGTCCCTGAGTTTCCTTCCCTAATGTGAAGCACCTTCATCTCCCAGCCTCACTCTCATATTGCAACGCCTGGTCCACAGAGCCCTGAGCAGGGGTCAAAAATGAGATGGCTCATCATCTGGCACATTAACATGGATAAGGACCCTGGTCAGAAGAGGGAGATATCACTGCCCCCAAGCCCCGGAGAAGCAGGAGAGGCCGAAGCCGGATCCCCCTGTCATCCCAATGTTACAGCTATTTTTTCAGTTTGTAAAATGGAGAGCATTAGTATAGTGTTCTGAGTCCTGGTTGAAAGAGGCACTCAAATAGGAGAAGGGGCTTTGGGCCCCAGCCAGAAATATCTGGTTGTTTGAACAACCATCAAACAAAACCCTTCTATTATAATAGCTGCAGAAAATGTTTTCCACTGTGGAATAGTTGCAGAGGAAAAATGTTCTCGGAAACAAATGCTCAGGCTGAGAGGGACAAACCCAAATAAAACACAGGCTTGCCAAGCTAAGCCACTTCAATTGGGAAACAGATGTGTCCAGTCTGCATGCTGCATGGCATCCCACCCAGAGACAGCTGTGCCCGCCGTGTGGCTTCAGGACTTGCTGGCTGTTTCTCAGAGCAGCCCTCACCCAGGCCAGAGGGGAAGGCCAGAAGCGTGGTACAACCCTCCGGACAAGTGTTCCTAGCCTTTCCTGAGGACGAGTCACATTTGATTTCTCCGCACAGTTCTCGTCTTTGGCAGAGACATCTGGAGGGCAGATTTGGGGTGGGGGCAGGAGGAGAGGGAGCCAAAGGTGCATGCCACTGTGAGCGGGGGGTCCAACACGTCCCCAAGCCCTGAGGAGTCCTCACCTTCTGGGGCTTCAGGCCCTCCAGGCCCCTGAGAAGTGAAAGCTGCTCCTCATTTTTAGCCATGACTCGAAGAACCTGGTCTCTGGAAAGGAGACAGGAAGGGCAGAGAGACAGGAAGGGAGGGATTCCTGCAAGGCTGTGCTGCCTGGGGGAGGCAGTGTGGTGAAGAGGCTGGGCTGAGGGGACCCGGCAGGATGGTCCCTGGAAAGCCAGAGCAGCTCTGGGAAGCATACCAGTCCTCTGGCCTGGGGCTAGCAGCTAATACAGCGCCAAGTCAGACCACCCAGGGGACTCAATAAAGCCTATGGTGCTACGGATGGGAAGTGCCAACACAGGGAAGAAGGATGGGGAAGGCGTGTGGGGAATGGAGAAGGGCAGGGCAAGAGAGCAAAAAGAATGAGGCCAGGAAAGGAACAGACATGGGGGCACAAGGGCTCCTCATACAGGGCTCAAAGCCACGGTCTGTCCCAACCCACACCCTCTTCTGCCTTTTTCTCCCCAGAGCTTGAGGCCGTGGAGAGGAGAGCAGCCTCGTCCTACCTTACAGAGGGGAAGCTGGGCTCCCGCCCATCCCACAAGATGGGGTGGAGGCCAGGTGACTGAGCACTGTGACCTCCGGGACTGAAGCCAGCGAGGCATCGGCCCCCTGCCTGAGCAGCTCCGGGACAGCGGACAAGGAGTGCCCTCTCAGCCGTGTCTCCTCTTCTCTGCTACGGAGATGCTATGGACTAGCTGCCTCCTGGGCTCTTGGGGGCTGAGAAACCAGGACCACAGAGAGCCTGGTGTATAATACTAGTGCTTGTCGTTTGCCATTCAGAGGAGGCCACTTCCACACCCATATGGGGCGTGTATACAGGCTTTTGGGGGTTGCTAACTTCTTTAAGAATTGGAGGGAAATTGTGAGACCTTCCCCCCCAAAAAAGAGTAGATACACAAAAAATTTCCCATACAGTTTCAGGGGATTCTTGGAACCCTGAAAGCTTCCCCATGGACCCAGGTTAAAGAATTCTGGATTTGGGAAAGACAATAATAAAGCTTTACATCTTGCCTTCAAACTTGAGTGTGTAAGATTACAGACTTGGCAGTGGGTTCAGGATGGGGTCAAAAGTCCAGACTCCCTCTGCCCTGATCAGGTCCCAGAGGACAGCCACCTCCTCGCTGGGACACCCAGTCCCCGAGCTCCTGGCAGACCCCTCCCCATGGAGTAGCCACTCACCCTGTGAAATTCATTTGGCCCAAAGCTGCTGCCAGAAAAAAACTGCACACAAGGAGTGAGGGCAGACGAAGGTCCACGCCTCCTCCGGGGGCGCCCTGCATGCTTCTTCCTCCAGACACGCTTGGGGGCCTTTCCCTGTGCCCAGGCATGGCCCAGGCCTCAGGGCAGCACAGCACCTAAAGGCCGGCAGGCCCGGCCTGATAGTGGGCATCAGGTTCTCTCTGGGGAGACCCAGCCCGTGACTCCCGCAGCCCCAGCCCTAGGAGAGCTAACGCAGCCCCTCCCCACTTCTGCGCAAGTCCTTTCCTGGGAAGAGGAGGCCAGTCCCTGAGCTTTCTTCTCTCCCTGGAGGTTTGCTGAGCCAGCCTCTTGTGATCACCAATCCTCCATCCCCAGAGAAAGAGGAGAGCAGCCAGAGGTCCCAGCAGACCACTCCTTTCCTACCTATTGAATTCCCTTCTCTGCTCGCCATCTCCCTCACCCACTCATACTTTCCCGGCGCCATGTCCTTCCTGCATCTAAGGGTGTGGACCCCACTGAGAGAACACAGGGCAGAGAGACAGAGAACCAGGTCCTGCCTTCCTGTCTAAGAGATCTAGGGCAACTGCGCTAATCTCTCTAAATTTCAGCTTACTTATCAGTCAAATGCAGCTAATGATACCTCCCCTCCCTACCTCACAGGGTTTTGGGGGGTAGTGGATGAGACAACTGGGGTGAGTTGGCTTGGCAAGGCCTGCAAACTATAAAGTATTGTTATTTCAAAGCATTAACTCTTAGTCACAGCTGCATCTTAGGTCAGTCCTCCAGGGGCAAGGGGGAGAAGGGGAAGAGAAGAGAACAGAGAGGGGAACAAAGAACTCGCCACCGTTTGAGGAGGAAGTCAGTGAAGATTCCCTTTTCCCTCTCTTCAGGTGGTCACCACTTTCTGCTAGACAAGAAGGTCACTGCAGTCATTACTATAGTTCTCAAAAGACAGCAAAGTCAATTTCGCAGTCCTGCCAAAGCCCCACACAGCCCCCTCTGCGGTCTGGGAATAGTAGGCATAAAGCAGAGGCCAGTACACAAAGCAGTCGTACTGGAAGGAGAAAGTGAACGATGATGCCTGAATGGTGAGTGATGAATCCAACAGAAAATCCACAGGAGGCAGAAGAAAGGCAGAGACGAAATCCAGCAAAGTCGTTCAGCAGAGGATGTCAACAAAAGGCCACGTAACTGTCACCAGTGATTCTCAGAATCCCGGCTCCTCATCCATACTCTCCCAGAATGGCCAATTAACTGGCCATGTGTGCAAAGGGGAGCTCTCTTACTGACACACCGACCTACTCCACTATTTCATGTTCAGCTGTTCAGACACACCAAACTCCCCTGGACCCCTGGCTTTGGGAACTCTCAGAAACCCTAGCAAATGGCTTAAGGACCTAGAAAAGAAAGTGATGAGGCTTTCCACTCAAGTAACATTCAGCTTTAACAGAAATAGGAATAAAAGAGTGTACTAGTAAACAACAGCTCAGGAATTTAAAAGAAAAAAAGTGGGATGGTGCTAGTCACCAGAAGTACCCAGAATCTTCCGGTTCAAAAGCATCATTTTAAGCCACTGATAATAAGACAACTCTCCCTGTACTCGGTTCAGGGGTGGGGAGAGAGAAAGAGCAAGAGAGAAAGAGAGAGGGGCAGTAGGAATTCTCGAGCATGTATGACGGCAGCTCCAGGAGAACTTTGTGACAATGGAAGTGTTCTGTGTCTGCACTGTCCAATACGGTAGCCATAGCTGCTTGAAAGGTGGCTAGTGGGACTAAGGAGTTGAATTTTTTATTTTAATTAATTTAAATAATTTAAATAGCCACATGTGCTACCATATTAGGCAGCACAGTTCTATGGGAATTCACCAACCCTATAGCACTACCTCCAATGGCTGGATTTGAAGCAGAGACGAAGAACTATGCTCGGCCGAATACCTAATATTGGCTTCTTGAAGTGAATTAGTCATCTGATCATTGATTCAGTAAATGTCTACTATGTGCCAGGCACTTGCTAAAGTGCAGAAGTAAACTAGAAAATGATACAGACCTGGCCCTCAGATTTCTAATGGGGTAAGTAGACAATTAAAGAGTTTATTAAATGTAAAAACAGAGTTTGTGTAGGCGCTGCAAGGGGAAGGTATGATGTGCCATGAGGACAGGTGATATGGACCCCGTGGAGACTGAAGTGAGAGAGAGAATTTCCCCAAAGAGGCTTTGTTGGCAGACTTTATCTCCTGCAGGCGGGTGGAGTGCTACCCAAACAAGTCTGCCTGAGTGAAACAACTCAATTGCTGGATACAACAGTCTTAATGAGTTTTTAGAGGCAACCCTGGGTTGTCATGCAGGTAAGAATCCATAGATCCCAAAAAGAAGAAAAAGCCAAACTTGCCTGAGCGATAAGCAAATTTTCCCCTGAAGAGTTCCCTGGGCCCTAGGGTTCTTGATCTTTCTTCTAGAAGAACAGATCTTGTATCTAGGATCATTTTCCTTCTGTTTGAAGTATTTATTTTTAAACTTTCCTTCAGTGAAATTCTGTTATCTGAAAATTATTTTGCTTTCATTTTTGAAACATATTTACTGGGTATAATTCTAGGTTGTTTATTGTTTTTTTCTCTTAGCTGAATGGAAACATTACCCTACAGTCTTCTGGCTCCCATATTACTGTTAAAAGGTAATCAATTTGTTTATTTACTGTTCTTTAGTAGGTGGCCTATACCCTGGTTGCTGGAACAATTATAGATCTATATGGGAAAAATGGAATTTAGTCCCTGTCACGCCACATATAAAAATCAATTCCAGGCAGATTAAAATACTGAAATGTAAAAGGCAACATTAAAGCACAGTTAAGACAATATAGAGATTATTTTTATGTATTATATTTATATTAATATTTTATATATTAGTATATTAATATATACTAGTATATATTAATATTTTATTTTATACTAGTATATTAATATTTTATATATTAGTATAGGGAATAATTTTTCTACATAAGACACAAAAGAAAAAAAAGATTTCCATAAAGAGAAAGGTGGATAAAATCTACTACATTAAAATTAAGAACTTCTGTTCTTCAGACCCTTGACAAGGAGTAGAAAAACATATCTCAGACTGAGAAGACACATTTACAACACATACAACTGGTGAATGATTAATATCCACAATATATAAGGAACATCTGTGAATGGATTTTTTTAATGGGCAAAAAGCAAGGAAGGGTATTTCTCGGGAGTTACATGTTCTACAAACATATGAAAACTAGTCATTAGTAATCAGGGAAAAGCAAATTAAAACCACAGTTAAATTATGATATCACAGCACCAAATTGGCAAAAGTTAAAAAGTCAGTCAATAGCCAGTGTTAGCAAGGGTGGGGAGCCAATAGAATCTCTCATGGAGCACTCCTGGGGAACTTTAAATTGGTGCAATCCCTTTGGAAAACAGCTGTTACCTAGAGAAGTTGAAAATGTGCTGCACCCCCTGTGCCCTGACAGTTCCATCCCCAGCTATATGGTCTGGAGAAACCCTTGCTCATGTGCACTAAGATATACGTATAAGGTTGAATAAATGGAGATGTACTGTGTTCATGCAGAATGTAACAGAGAAAATGATACAGATACATGCACTCAATGGATGAGGCCTCAAAATGCTGAGTGAAAGAAATAGAACAGACAATGTAGGTTTCCATTTATGTACATTCATATCAAATAGGTAAGACTAAACTATTTATTGTTTAGAAATGTGCACAGAAGTGTCAATGATAAGGAAAAGGAAGGAAATTATTCGTATGGATTAGTGGTTTCATCTGGGGAGGAGTCCAGCGAGGGGCCCATGCAGGCTTCTAACATGGTGTCATGTTCTTGTTCTTAAGCCGAATAACAGGTAAAAGACAATTAATTTTATTTTTAACAGGCTATGGAAGTTTTACCCAGGCTCTTGTACATATGATTGATTTACTTCACAATAAAACATGTCAAAGGAAATACAGGAAAGCTAAATTCTTTTTTTTTCATAGTGGAAAATCAATAGAAATGGCCTGAAATTGAAAAACCAATAAGTAACAATATAAGTACCTTATCTAATTTTATAAACATGAAGGTCAAGACTAAAAGAATTCAATATGGTTGTTGTTGGAGAGCAAGAAGTGGGGGGAAGAAGTGCAGGGAGCAGGACTCAGCTGCTTTTTATGATGTCTTATAAAATTTGCTGACTCTTAAACAGTGTGCTGTATAACCAATTAAAATAAATGTGACGTTTCAAAAATGCCATTTGATACAGAAACAGAAAGCAGATTGGTGGTCCCCAGGTTGGTGGGGGCTGGGAGAAGTGGGGGCTTAGCGTTCAATGGAGACAGAGTTTCAGCTGGGAAAGATGAAAGACCTCTGAAAGGGAACAGCGCTGATGCCTGCACAACTGTGTGAACGTACTTGATGCCACTGAACTGTACACTAAAAATGATTCAAGTGGTAAATTTAATGTTGTGTATATTTTACCACACACAAAAGAATTAAAGCTAAAAAAAAAAAAAGAGAGAGAGAGAGTGGCACTTGAGCTGAGTTACTTAAGATATAAAGGAGTTAACCAGCCAAAGCCAGGTGAGGAGGTTGCAGGAAATCTGATGCTTGCCGTGAATCCCTTCTTCATTAAAGGTATTAATTCCCACTTCTGGTTGGGGACCACCCTGAGGGGCTCAGAGATCGAGTGAAAGTGCTCCAACATTTGCAAATAAAACTCCCAAACTAAATTATATTTAATTTCCAAAAGTCCCCTTTGGGTGCTTAATGGAAATAAATATATCAAATGTAATCTTAAAAAACAAAACACGAGTATCATCATTCATATTACAAAAGGATTCTTAAATTAACAAGAGGATTTACCACAGTTTCTTAACAGAGCCAGCTCCCCACCACACACACACGAAGTGTGATTGAATTAACAAAAAAACCAGGCGTATCCCACCTTCGAGAAATAGGCCAAACAGGTGCTTTCAGAGGAAATTGAGTACTGAAAATCCAAGAAAACAATGACCCACGAAAACGTGGCTTAATGTGCTCTAGCCTAGAGTTTCTAAATCCTCTTCATCATTCAAAATCTCACACTGGGGCCATCCTGGGTGGGGGCAGCCACAGGTGACCTATCATATCTCCAATTTGGTAATCACACCTGTGCCTCCCTCTATCATCACATACTGTATAGATTCTAATTCTTCATAAGCCATCAGTCTAACATGAAACAAACTGCTTGTGGGCTGGGGCTGAAACCTATTCATCTATGTGACCCCAGGAAGCCTGCCTACAGCCCAGGATTTATTTACTGATTGATTTACTGAGGGAGGCCTATCCTTTCCTGGGACCACAGAGATACCCTGGGTGTTTGAGATCATGAGAAATTTAATAGATATTTCAGGGTGTTGAAAAACAGAGATTTAGAACCCAGGACCATTGAATCCTAAGCAACAACTTTACTCTGAACCTTACAGTGCTCACTATTGATGGTAGCAATTGGTGAAGGGTCCACAAACTTGGTCCAAGTGTCAGAAAAATAAAAAGTAAAATTCTGATGTTACTGGAGCAAATACTCCCATCAGATCTGAGCAACTCAGGAAAACATTGATCAACTTGTTACTGTTTCTCCTTGCCTGGGGAGTAAGGGAGATCATCTCCTCCCAACCTCCTGGTTTAATATCCAAAGATCATGGTACCACCGGCCTCTGGGACCTCAGAGCTGGCACCTACGCCCTTCTACCACCCTGCAGCCCTGGCAAAGGGGTGGGAGGGAAACACCATCTCCCAGGGCCAGTGTTATTCATTACTAGGCCTTCCCCAGCCGTGCAATTTGTCCACTTTCCAGCTTGCTCAAGTGTCTTTCTGGCTACACAAGTCCCTCTTCATTTGTTTTCCAGAATAAACAGAATGGTTTCTAGATCTCCTACTCAGGCACCAGGGAGCCTGGAGGACATAGAGAAACCTGCAGGTTAAATATTGATCCTACTGATAGCCCTGGGGTGGGAGGGGAGGAGGGAGGAAGATCTGGTGTCTTCTCTGACCAGCCTCCTTAACAGGTCAGTACCTGTTCACCACCAGCTGCCTCTGGAAATACCTTTAGAAATACCGCTTCACAGTGACGAGGCAGGTCATCCTTCCCTTCCCACCAGGTCTGGCTTCTCCGAGTTTTCTAATAGAGCCTTGCTGAAGTTGGAACAGAAGGTCTTTGCTTTCCCTGATGCTGTGCTTCTCACGTCCTGTATGAAAGAGCAAAGGCGTGGCAAGGCGCTCAGAACTGAGGAGGGGCGACTGCCTCAGTCAGCTAAGTGCAAAGAAGACACTGGGCTTCTTCTGGGTCAGATGTGAAACTCCCACCCTGCAGGTCTTCATTCAGTATGCCTTTATGTTGACACCAGTATGTGCTTAGCTGTTGGGGATCCAAAATAAATAAAACCTTGGCTCTGCCCTCCAGGGATTATAAACCCCAAATCTGGGTGAATGGTTTTCTAGTGGGAGACCAAGCTGTTTAAATACTCAAGCAGAATTTATTTACTTGCTTGTTGAGAAAAGTGGCTGTGCCACCCCAAATCTGAGAAGCTGATAGTTGAAGATGAGGATACATTGTCCTGTGGATTGTTCCCTGTGAAAGGGCACAGAGTCCCTAAAGGAGAGAAATAGTGTCTTTGGCCCATTCCAGATGTTTCATAAGTAAAACATTACTCCAATCCTCCCTGGATGACAATCTCAGGCACAGGCACAAGAAGGGTGGACCCATAAGAACCATACCCCTCAACTGTGGTCATCAGCCAGCAATGGCAGCCAGACATGGAGACCGGGCTCCTGTTTCCTCCCCACAGCCTCTCTCATCACTGCAAAACTGGAAACTCAAACGCTTCCAGGGGCCAGGCAGATAACACAGGGCTGTAGACTCAGAGGGACTGAAATGAAGGAACTCTATGCATTTTGAAGGCATTCCCGTTGCTTTTTCAGCAGCAGTCTGTAGAGCTAGCTAGCCTTGGGAATCTGCTTCACCATTTCCATTTGTGTATGTTTGGGCAGGTTACTTCACCTCTTGAAGACTGTTATTCCTCACCAGTTAAACAGGGATAATAATAACCAGTCTGCATACATCACCAGGTGGTTGTGATAATTTAATTAGCCAATATCGATAAAAGCATTTTAAAGCTACAAATCATTACAAAACTGCAAACAATCTAACCAATATCAAGTCTTCCTTATCTCCAAAGGTTTAATTTATGCTCTTAGAACTTCAGGACATACATTCCAATCTATTTTCCAGAATTCCACTGATAATATTTGTTGGAAAAGAGCACTTTTTTCCTGCTGCCCTAACTTGTTGTGAGTGTGGCTTATGCAGTTGTTAACTTGCTGCCCCTGCAGCAAATCAAATCAACAAATATTTACCAGCTGCTAAGCTCGGCCTTGTAGGACATAGAAAAAACTATGAGATTCACTTTCTGCATTAAAGGAGCAAATTGTCCAGCTGCACCAAAGTACCCACATATTCTAGAGGAGAAAACTGCACATGCTCTCTGGATGCCCCCAATACACCTGGAGCTTTACTTCCAATACAAGAAACAGCTGGTGTTCATGATTTAAGGCTCAATACAAATAGGAGGGAGAATTTATTTTGCAAACTGCCTGGTTTGGCAAAGTTCCCAAATTCATCAAACAGAAAGATTACGATGATGATGATAACAATAAAAATGATTCTTCATCACTGGTCTTAATATAGTGACATAAAAGAACTGCATTCTACATAGGACATTCCAGATGTGGAACATAAACTCAACTTCACCCAAAATAGACTTGTAGCCTCCCCAGCACCTGCAAAAATCAAAGGTGACCCCCTGTCTTGCCTGAGGGTTTCAGCCTCAGACAAGTTCACTATGGACTCAGTGAGACTGAGAAATGACCACGGATGTTCTTGGGGTAAAAGGGTTTATACCCAGATATATTTTCATGGCAGTAGGTTGAGCATTAGAATCACGTCTGCATCCAGCAGTTCACAGGTTCATAACCCACCTCCATCTCTGCCACTGCCCAGAGCACTAGGTAGAGCTCTTTATATAGTGACTCACTCAGTAATAGCTCATTGTCTACAGGTGTGGAAGCATTAGCCTAGTAGTTGGCCAATTATATCATCAAGTAGTTGAGGGTCAGGTGAGGATCCTGGCCACAGGAACTTCCATTTTCCCCATGACCCCATATACTTGACATGGCTGGGATTGGAAGCTAGACCTGTGAAGGTATCAGGCAATGATCTTTCGTATTAATCTAGTTTAGGGAAAATAGAAGTTCCTCTGACTAGGATCTTCACCTAACCCTAATCTACTTGATGATGTAATTGGCCTACTGCTGGGCTAATACTAGGCTAATATTTACACACCCATTGGCAATGAGCCGTTATCACTGGTGTTGCTATATACAGAGCTCCACCCAGTGCTCTGCCCAGAGACAGAGATAGAAATGGATCCCAATCCATTCTATCAGACATGATTCCAGCACTGACCTGCCTCCATGAGAATAAAACTTGATATAAACTCTTTTACCCCCAACATTCCATTGTTGTTATTTGGGCTCACAGAATCCAGAGTGAATTTGCCCAGGGCTGAAACTCTCAGGCAAGACACAAGTAAAAGGGCATTGTGGATAAAGTGAAGGTTGCTATGGCCAGGATTGTCATCTGGCCCTGACTGCCTTGCTCACTACACCCGTGTGGGCAATACGTTGCTATTGACTCTATATAAAGAGCTCTGCCCAGTGCTCTGCACAACATGGTGGCACGGCTGCAAGGCTGCAGGAGAGCAGAAAGGAGACTGGAGTGGTGGCAGCGCAGAGGACAAAGAATGAGACGGCTGCGGGGGCAGAGAGGCCCAGAGGCAGAGACTGGCTTGCTGCATGCAGACTTGCTCTGAGTGGACGGAATTCTAGTGACTGACCTGCCACGGTGGAAATAAAGTTGGGTATAACCCTTTCACCCCAAGAACGTTCTATTGCCATTTCTTTGGTCACATGGAATCCATAGTGCACTTGTCCAGGGCTGAAACCCATTGGCAAGACAGGCATCAATAGCTATTTAACATGGGAAAACTCCCAAAGAAAGAAGCCCAATATTTCAAAAGCCAAATACTATTAAAAATGATCTAACATCCAACTAGTGTTTTTCTGTCAACTGTTGAGATCTTTGTCATTAGGTCTCATGAAAAACTTAACAAAAATAAGGCTTCCAATTAGGGAGATGCCAATGACCTGATTCATAAATGAACTTCCACCATTTGGTGAGAATAATAATTCACGCTAAAACACCCTGAGTACTTCTAGTGCCAGGTAAGGTGCTAAGTAGTTTGCTGAATTCTCTTGATAAGCTATTATAAATACTATTATTATTCTCATTTTAAAGATGAGGAAACAGGCTGCAAGTCTGGGGAGAGGAAATCCCAGGGCAAAATACCTCTAAAAACCAAAATCAGTCAAAGGGAAAAATAAAGTTTAAAACCCATTTATTGCTTACAAACTGCAGTCCAGCGCTGTCTTTCTCCACTGTTCCGGAGGAAGCCAGCAAGCAAGCCCCTCCCCTTAACCTCTCAGGTTCAGACACGCGCTTGGGTGCCCAGGTAAAAAAATACCCTGACATGGAGATGAACTCTCCACCCAAGGATATGTAAATGCACCAAAGCCAGGTGAGGTATTCTGGAAATATTACAGTTTTACCCACACAGGCTCCCAAAGGTTACATCATGGCCCAGGGTCTCAGAGCTTAGTGAAAAAGTTGGACTATTGCCCTGCTCCCCAGTAGACAGAGTGCATGTCATCTGCCTTTCAGTCCCCAGGTGGCTGCAGTTCAATGAGTGGCTCTTGTTTCAAGCAGGCAGCACATGGATAACAGCTAATCCCATCCACAACTACAGACTGTTAGCCCTCTCCACCAGCTACTTCACAAAGGTCTTCTTCTGGTTCCAACAGGACTGGGCATGAGACCTGGAAATGGCTCACAAGCCCCCTCCCCAGTACCACAAAAAAGAGAACTCAAAATACTTTTTCCACTATCCACAGATCATCCCTTTTTCATCCTCATCAGTGTCCTCAATAATGGAAAATTCCATGGAGACTGATTTGATGAGGTGTGAAAGCCTTTCAAACTTAAATGTGTTTCAGAAATTTATGTCGTGTCTGTGAATGTTTATGGCTCAGGTTTTCTGTTTTTTGGTGTGGGGGGCTCTTCACTTAGAGAACAGAATGTATTAATATTTGTCATGGGCAAGAAACATTCTTCCTGAGACTTTACACCTGTAAAATGTGGATAATGACATCAAGCCACATTTTTTCATGTGGATTTGAGAATATAAAAAGAATACAAAGTTAAGAATAATTTTATATCAAACTCAAATGCCACATTCTCTAACTTTCCCAATCCAGAGGCCCCACAACTACCATCACTGTCCGTGCCACAGTCAGCTTTCTTTTATTTATAGCAGCTCTCATTATCCAAATTACATTTTTTAATCTGTTTTCTTGAGTACTTCATGTCTCTCTGACCACAGTGAAATTCCGTGCAAGAAGGGATTTTGTCTTCTTCTTTACCATTGCATTGCCAGACTTTAAAATAGTCCCTTGCACATGCTAGGCACTCAATGAATGCAAGTTGAATAGTAAAACCTTTTTGTGTTAAAATTCGTATCTTTATGAACATTTTAAAAATTGGATTTCCAGTCCATAGAAAGAGAAGAACCATAATCCTTGGGTAATGGCATGCTCATCATTAATCCATGCGTGGCCCTCTTATTTATTTAGCTATTCAATTTGGGGTTTTTTAAAGCTGATGATACCTGAAAAAACAGAACCTAACACAATAGCTAGGGTCCTTCATCTGATCATAGGCCCTGACCTCTATCTTGTCCCTCACCTCTCCCCAACTAGGTTACCATCAGTCAGAATCCCAGGATTCATTTCCTATTGTCTGAAGTCCATTTCCTGAGGACCTGGGATGGGATTCTTGTTTAGGTGATTTACTGAGTTTTCAAGAGAAGGGAAGTTTGGGAAGCAGGACGGGACAGGAAAAAAGCAAAGCAAAGCTGTGCAATCAGCTGGACACTGGATTCAGAGCTGGAGCACACATTGCACGACAGAGTTGACCCTTCCTTGAAGCAAAATACGAGCTGTTTGTACTGAGTCAGTGAGTCACTGGCTAACATTTGGGGAGGTGATATGTATGAGAAAGTAGCTACATGAGCTT